AGGGGTGGGGTAAAGTTCCAAAATGGAGAGTTGAAAGTTTGAAAGTTGATTTTGATTGGAAAATGATTGCAAAAGTATACGGTTACGACCGTTTCTGATACGTGTAACGGTACGAAACGGGGAGTTTTGATTGGAAAATGATTATTGTTTCAAAAAGTTGAATGGAAAATGATTACTGCAAACTTTCGTTGATTGGAAAATGATTACTCCAAAAATTTGTTGATTGGAAATTGATGATTGCCCAAATTTTTGGACAATTCAAAATGTGCCTGTGTCCCACATCCCCACTATGATCCCCTGACGTCATCGTTGACTACCCCACCTTGCCATGGAGTTCTTGGACCTTCATACCACCCCAGCCTGATATAAGGGAAGTACCCCGTGGAATAACACGTCTTGGGACCCCCTCCCCACGGATACCCAATCATGTTCAAAACTTTACTACCCACCCCACATGCGGGAAGTGCCGCCGGCCCCCTCGGACAACCAGTATCATCACCCCTACCCCCTGAAACCCAATGTTTTTGGTGGGTGGTATGTCAAGGGGCACACGTGTAGGATGTGGACGGGTGGTAAAGGAATAAGGAGTACCCCCTCCACCCCCACCACTCCGTAGTGAGATAGACCCATCTCGTTCTCACTACCCCACCCTCAGGTCATGCTCAACTACCCACCAATGAGATATTCACCCCGATCAAAAGCCCAAAATGCACCCTACCAGATCTCAATGGGGGGGTTTAACTAGGCACGCACGGGTAATGGAGGGTACCCACCCCGTATAAAAAAGACGAAAATTGCTAACACCCACCCCCCTCGATCCTCATCAAATCCATCCAATCTCTGACCCCACCCCCAATCACTTTGACATCACACCAACAAACTCTCTTAAACCCACCTCCATACCCCCACTCACCCCCTTACTCTCCATCCCTACCCCCGTCGTTGTGATCGCACTTCATCTCTGCACGACCCTGTCGGGGTCTTGGGTACAGATGCTATACCTTCGATTATCTAATTGTACCTTTGAGGCCCCCTTCTCTCCATCGCCCTCGACCCTACCCACCCCACCATTCTCAGCTTCACTTTGTAGCACCCCACCCCCCTGAATCTACCAATCTCAACTCCTCCGTGCTACAAAACGTCTACACCGCTTCCAAACACTGAGCACCCTACCCCCCAATGAACTAGATACGAGGGGGTACATTAGCCCACCCCTTGTCCCCCCAGTAGTCCCAACAGGCCCAACGTAAAAATCTGAGGTGTGACCACCACCCCTCATTACCTCTACAGTCACCCCCGTGTTTATGTGTCACCACCCCCTACCGACATCCTGTCCTTGTCACCAGTACCCCTACCCCTAAGAATGAAGGTACAGGACATACACCCTGGTTGAAGCTGTGGAAAGATAGGTGGGGTGATTACACACGGGTACTTTATGATAAGTTTGTCCTGGCTACACCAGGGGTACCCTTGAATACGATAACTCCCACCCCATCATTCTAGCAGATTCACCCCGTCAACACCACCACCCACCCCTGTGAGAAAGAAGGGGGCTCACATTGAAGCTGTCACCCACCCCCAGAAATGGGTAGTTGCTTCTTCATGGTACCCCCCGACACTGAACCCTATCACTTAGTACCCCTACCCTACCCAAGGCCCGCCCCCTCTTGCTTTTCTTTCTCCACAAGCTCCACGAGCAGCTCTACCCCCTGCTTTTCCCAGGAATGGGTACAGTACCCTACCCCCTCTTTCCCATGAACTACCCCAACAATCAGGATAGTTCACCAGAGGGGTACAATATTACCCCACCCCACCCTCTCCGTCACGTGCGCCAAAAAAAAAAGCCCCTCGAGTCCTTTTAGCCTCGGCGCTGGCAGCCTACTCCAATCCCCGTGCACGCCGCCATGGCAGAGAAGGAGCATCTTTCGATCGTTATCTGCGGCCATGTCGACTCTGGCAAGTCCACCACCACTGGACGTCTCCTCTTCGAGCTTGGAGGTATCCCCGAGCGTGAGCTCGAGAAGCTCAAGGAAGAGGCTGCCAACCTCGGCAAGTCTTCCTTCGCCTTTGCCTTCTACATGGACAGGCAGAAGGAGGAGCGTGAGCGTGGCGTGACCATCGCATGCACTACCAAGGAGTTCTTCACCGACAAGTGGCACTACACCATCATCGATGCCCCGGGCCATAGGGATTTCATCAAGAACATGATCTCCGGATCCGCTCAGGCTGACGTCGCTCTTCTCATGGTTCCCGCTGACGGTAACTTCACCACCGCCATCCAGAAGGGAGATGCCAAGGCTGGAGAGATCCAGGGACAGACCCGCCAGCACGCTCGTATCCTCAACCTTCTCGGTATCAAGCAGCTCATCGTCGGCATCAACAAGATGGACTCCGACACTGCTGGATACAAGGAGGAGCGCTACAACGAGATCCGCGATGAGATGAGGAACATGCTCATCCGTGTTGGATGGAAGAAGGAGTTCGTCGCTGCTTCCGTCCCCGTCATCCCCATCTCCGGATGGATGGGAGACAACCTCCTCACCAAGTCCACCAATATGGGATGGTGGTCCGGAGTCGAGGTCGTTCCTGATGGCTCCACCGACAAGATGAAGATCGAGACCCTCCTCCATGCTCTCAACGACTTTGCCCGCCCCCCCAAGCGTAACGTCGATGCCCCCATGCGCTGCCCCATCTCCGGCATCTACAAGATCAAGGGTGTTGGTGACGTTTTGGCTGGACGTGTTGAGCAGGGAATCGTCAACCCCGGAGAGGATGTCATCTTCATGCCCACCCACACTCCTGGTACCCCTTGCGAAGGCAAGATCTTCACTGTTGAGATGCACCACAAGCGTGTTGACGCCGCCAAGCCTGGTGACAACGTCGGCATGAACATCAAGGGTCTTGACAAGAACAACATGCCCCGCTCTGGCGACGTCATGGTGTACAAGAAGGATGGTACCCTCAAGGGAACCAAGTCCTTCACTGCACAGATCCAGACCTTGGACAACATCCCCGGAGAGCTTAAGACAGGATACTCACCAATTGGCTTCGTGCGATGCGGACGTGCTGCTTGCCGTATGACCGTCATCGACTGGAAAATGGGTAAGGAGACCGGAGGACAGAAGCTCGAGAACCCCCCTCATCTCAAGGCCAACGAGGTTGCCCAGGCTCAGTTCGAACCCATGACTCCCCTTGTGTGCGACACCTTCAAGAACTGCGAGGGCTTGAGCCGCATTGCCTTCCTCGACGGAAACACTGTTATGATGCTTGGCAAGGTTATTGCAACAGTTGCTCGCGATGATGGTGGTGCTAAGAAGAAATAATTTTGACGCTTGTGTGTATTTCAATAAAAAATAGTTCAAAAATCAATCTTTTGTGAGCGTGAACATTGATGAAAAAGCAACCTATGTTTTCTCAAATCTTTTGTGCTGAAATTAGTCTGTGGATTGTTGCAATAAAGTGCGATCTGTCCTGTCTTCGAAATCCCAGGTTTACAACCGAGTTGTATGGTCCGAGAATGAGCCTCGCAAGCTCTGCCATGAAAGTTGTTCAGCATCATGTTATGTCACATGGAGCGTCGTTGTACACCCAACACCCCTGGGGAACGCAGCAGCACATGGAGCAACGGCAGCAGTCTGAAAAGACGCCTCCTTGATCGCCTCTACCCTTACCTGCTTGCCTGATCCCATGAACTGTCTTCCCATTGACCGACATCAACATGTCTCCAGGTTCCACACCAGCAGAGCTGTGGTTGAAAGGAGATACGACTGACTTGACGTTGAAGTATCCCTGAGCACTTATCACCTTCTCTCCTCCCTCCTCAGCCCCCCCCGCCCCCCCCTCCTCTCCTCGATCCCCGTCAAGCACTCCTTACCTGCGTGTCCTTGTGAAAGACGATCCCCGTCCCGTAGAGCCGCGAGTCACCAGCAGGACTCTGTTGCTCTTGCTTGGGGGACGACACCTTCTCCTTCACCGAGCTGCGCCATGTTAGCAGCCATCTTCCTCGTCCTTCCTCCAGCTCCTCCTACTTTCACCTGCGAGACATCGTATCTTCCAGCGACTGTCGCATAGATAACAATCAGCGGAGAGGGAGGCAGGTCAGGCTCACCTCCTCTAGTAGCGGCTGCAGTGGAACCTCATGATGTGCTGGCCGGCTCCGGGACGAGTTTGCGCTTCGGGCCCGCTGTCGACTCCCATCACGGCAAATCTCCCGCCTCCTCCAGCCCCCAAACACCCAGACCCTTCCTTTCTCGTCCCTCGCTCTTGTTCTCCACCTCTTCTCTCGTTCTTCTCCTTCTCTCTACCTTCTCCCTCCTCTCCTCTACCTTGTCAGCTGCTCTGCCCACAGGCCCGACTCTGCCTCGCTTCAGCGCCACTTTGATCATCTCATGATCGTTTCCTAGCAGGCCAAGCTCGACCAACGAGTTCTGAGAATGAATCAGCGACTCTTCCCCCTCCTCCTCCCCCTCCTCCTCCTCCCCCCATCCTCCTCCTCAACCAGCACCATCACTCCTCTCCCCCGCTCCTCCCCCTCCTCACCCTCCTCCAGCACCACCACTCCTCTCCCAACCTCCTCTCCCAGCATGAGCGAAGTCAGTTGGTCGAAGCGGATCCCTCGAATCTTTTTGCCGTCCACGGAGATCAGCATATCCCCTGCATTGACCTGCAAACGTGCAGTCAGTCCTGGTCCTCTCCCTCCCCTTGTTTCTTCGTCTTCCACCATCTCTCGCTCTCATCTTCATCCTACCTGCTTGCTGCTTGCTGCTGGGCCACCAGGAGCAAGGGCCTTCACAACGAAGTATCCATTCTGTCGTATAGGAGCAAGGATATGGGGAAGGAGGAGGACGAGAGGAGGAGGAGGAGGAGGAGGAGGAGGAGGAGGAGGAGGAGGAGGAGGAGGAGTCAGGGTCCGAGCATACGCTACAATTGCCTTACCTTACTGCGACTGAAAGTGATGCCAACACCACAGGGCTGTTGGTCCGTGTGTAGCTTCACTGTGCTGCTGGTGCTGATCGATGTTAGTCTGAAAATTCACAACCTCCTCAATCTCCATCTCCATCTCCATCTCCTGCTGCTCCTCACATTTCTTGCCCGGGTCCTGCTCCAGCTCCTCCTCCCTTTCCCTTCGACTTTCGCTCTCCCTCCGACCCCACACTCACGTTCGTTCCTCGTTTGCTTCCAAAACCTCCGTCTGTCTCGAGATCTTCTCGGTTCGCTGGAGGGTCACATGAATGACAACCAGGAGGCCGTTGGAATCGATGCGCTGTCGCGACGTCAGGAGGAGTGGAGGTATGGCAGAACATGAGGAAAGCAAGAAAACCAGAAGCAGGAAAGAGAAAAGAGGAGAACAACAGAATTATGAGAACTTGACAGGATTTGTGCGAGGCAGACATGGGGAAGAGAGTAGCAAGCGGAGGACGAGACTTGGAAGAGAAGCAGGAGGTATGGTGGTGGCGGAGCAGAGGCGTTTGTGGCAGTTTGATGCGGGGACATCGGAAGAAATCTGGGAGGAGCAGGACGAACAAAGTTTACCCGCAGGCCGAGCACCAGCCAGCTGCTTGGGGGTCCGCAAAGAGCATCGAAGAGTTGATCGGGGGTGAAGCTGAGGACAGATCTCTGAGGAAGAGGATGAGCCAGGAAGGGAAGAGCAGGGAGCAGCATTACCCCCTCTACCATGAGCAGCGTGTCGCCCACCTGTGCCTGCAGAGGCAAGTGAGTGAGTGAGTGAAGGAGGGAGAGTGAGAGTAAAGCAAGCGAGCAGGGAGAGGGAAGTTGAATTCATAATACACGAGCAGCGCAGAGGGAAAGTCGGTGACGAAAATGTTTGGGAGGAGATAGAGGATAGGAGGAACAGAGCGGAGGAAGCCAGTGGAAGGAGGGAGACAGATCGCAAGTTCGGTCGGAACATCCAAGCAAGACATTCAGGAGAAAGCAAAAAGAAACGGAGAGAAGAAGATGTAAGAGGAACGTAAGGAGAGCACGGAGAAGTGTGAGGAGTAAAACGCAGAGCGCTCCAGGAAGGGTGCAGGGAAATCCGTTACCTTCCCTCCTCTTGCTGACGTCATCTGCTTGGAGACTTGAACGACCTTGTAGAAACCGCTGGCTTCAAGCTGAAATTTCACGCCGATGCTGAAACGATCTCCCATATCGTGTTGGATCCCAGAAGGTTCTACGCTTGCATGTAAGGAGCAGGGAGGAGAGGGAGGGAGGGAGGTAGGGAGGGAACCAAGAGAATCAGGACGGAAAGGTTGGAGAGGAGGGGAAAGACGAAGTGAGGAAGAGGGATGGGTTGGAGGGGGGAAAGGCACGGTGTGACCTTGACCTGCCGTTCCTCGCTCTGGGGCCTGCTGCTCGCTCTTGCTCGATTCCTGCTGGGCCCGAGCCAGAAGCTGATTGATATGTCCGAGCAGCCCCTCCTTCGCTCTCTCTGCCTCCTCCATCCGAGCCTGTAGCGTCTGATGATAAAGTCAGGCCCATGGAGCGTGACGAGGCGGGAGAGACCGTGATCTGCTCGTTCCGTTTCATCAAGCTCTGCTTCAGCTCTTCCACAGTGTTCTTCGACCTTGTTTCTTCCTTCGCTCCCCCTCTCCTCCTCCCCCCCCTCCTCTCCTCTTCCTCTTTCTCCTCCTCCTCCTCCTGCAAGCCCCTGCTGGAGACTGTCATCTAACGCTTTTGAAAACCCTCGCTCCTCCTTTACCTCTCGTCAAATTCTTCAGGATGCAAAATAGAGAATTCGGAGAGTGCTCGCCACACCCGCGCGTCAGCAGGCTGCCGCTCTACAAGGACCACGAACTTTTCCCCCCCTCCTCGTCTGCCCCCACCTCTCATCATCTTCAGCTCCAACTGCGATCGCGGAGGTCCCCTAAGGAGGGACACAATCTCCTGCACATCGTGTCAGCCGTTCTCCGCCACCAGCTCATTCCTCCTCTTCCTCCTTCCCACTCCATCTCCCTCATTCTCCCAGCCATTCATCCAGAACCATTTTCGGCTTCCACTACACTTCCGCTCTTCTCCCCACTCTCCTTCTCGCTCCTTCCTGTTCTCCAATGCTGCTCCTGCTCCTTCCACTCTCTCTCCTCCAACACTGCTCACCTGCGGGCTCGTCTCGTCCGCTGTCTTTCCATCTACAGCAAGCAGCACGTCTCCCACCATCACCCTGCCAGTTGCATCCGCGGGGCCTCCCAGAACAACCTCTGTGACCCGATACATCCCCTCCTCGTCCCTGCCAACCGAAAGTCCGATCCCGCATTCCTCCTCCTCGTACTCCTCTCCTTCCTCCTCGTATGATCCCGCGTACACTGAGGGGTCGAACTCGCCGCTAGCCTGCGCACTTGGAGGGGGACGGCGATGAGTCATGAGCTCTCTTCGGACCTCCACGACGAGGATCCTGTCCCCTCTCCGCAGCTCGAGCTGGACGAAAGTCCCCTCCTCGCCTGCGATGTAGGAGCAGACTTGAGCATGTGACAGGCCAGTCACGCTATGCTCGTCGATCTTGAGGAGGACGTCCCCAACCTCCAGCACCCCCGAGCGATGAGCAGACGAACCATGCTGCATGCCGAGCAACTCGAACTCTCCTGTCTCGAGCTTCCTTAGGCTGATGCCAATGTCTCCTTCTCCTTCTGCCTCGTCCTCGTCCTCGTCCTCGTCCTCCTCATCTCGGATCCACATGGATGGATCCAAAGAGACTTCTGATTTGGCAGCGAGCCGGTGAGCGCGAGGCTTCTGATCCCTCTTCCCTTCCCTTCTCCCTATCTCCTCTCCTCTTTTCAACTGCTTTTCCAAGAGGAAGATGAGGAGGTTTAGCACCTCGTAGTCAACGCCGCATGCTGTATCTTCAAGGATTTCCTTGAAGTGCTCAAGATTAGCCTGACATCGCTGCAGGAGAGAAAACAGATCCTGCGAGAATTTTCTCTTGGCTTCAACCGTCCTGTCCTCCTCCCTGCCTTTCCGCGCTGAAAGTAGCTGCTGTTGCAAGTTCACTATCTTCGTCTCCTTCTGATGACCCTCGCTCTCAAGTTTCGTCACTTCGTCCAGGAGAAGCTTCTTCTCTGACAGCAGTTGTTCGACCTGCTGCTTCTGAACTCTGTCGCCCTGCTGGCTCCTCAGTACCTTGATCTCTTCATGCAACACGGTCTTCTCCTCTTTCAGTTTGTTCATGTTTGTTTGCAACTCTCTCAGTGACTTTGAAAGAGCATTCTTCTCCTCCTCTACTCTTTCCACCCTCTTCTTTTCTTGGACAAGCTGACTTTCGGTCTCTTGGCTCACCCTCTGCAACTTCTCCAGTTGCCGTTCAAGACTCGCGCATTTCACTTCCATCTCCTCCATCCAACCTGCCGAGGTGCCTCCTGTCGAATCTCTGGAAATTGACGAAATCAGACCCTGACAATCTTTCCAACCCCCTCTCCAATCTTATCCTTCCTCCTCTCTTGCCTGCCCGACCCGCGACCCGCCTCCCCTTCCTTCCCTCCTCATCTACCTCTTTCGCTCGGCCTCCATCAGTTTCCCCTCCAGCTCGAGCACTCGCTCTTCCAGCTGCTTGGTCAGACTCCGCTGCTGTATCGCGTCCAGAAGCGCTGACTTGTACTTGACTTCCAGTTGCTGAATCACAACTGATGGGTCGATCCTCCCATACACCCCACTTGGCGGCGAACCGATCGTCGGCACACTGAACTGTCTGCTCACCTCCGCAATGACCTGATCACTCCGTTGTAGCCAGACCCTCTTCTGGTGGCCCATGCAGCTTTGCAGTTCCACTTCCACCCTTGTCCCTCCCTCACCCTGGAGGAGAACCTCCACCTGCTCCAGCGTCTTGCCCAAGAGGAGGAAGCCGTCAACCTTGACCAGCTCGTCTCCGATGTCCAACATGTCCTGAGCATCCCCCCAGCAGCTCTTCACGATGAATCTTCCGCTCTCCTGCCCCACCTTCACGCAGACTGCAGCAGAAGGATTGAAAGAAATTGCCTGTCTATCCTGCAGTAAGTTAGACCCACCGACTTCCTTGAGGCCACCAACATCGCCGTCTGATTGCGACATCGGGCTCCTTCTATCACATAGCAAGGACAGCTCTCGCTCCGGGTCGAAGCTCAACACTGTCGAACAGATCTTGCTCCTGTCACCCTGAAGCTCAGGGTCGAAACTCGCAACTGACTGCCGGGACGCTTCCCTCTTGCATTCCTCCACTCCTCCCTCCTGTCCAACTTTGTCGTCAAAGGGATCCTCGCTCTTCGACATCCCCTCCAACGCAGATCGCAAGAGAGCAGACAAGTGTGAAATGTCTTGACCACTCCTGCCTTCCGCTCGGTTTCCAGCCAGCATATCTCTCGATCTGGCGTCCGTAGCCCCGTCTCTCCTCTCTTCCACAGGTGGCGGCACAGCTCCTCCACGGGCTGATTCTCTCTCTGGCAAGTCCTGCTCCACGTCGACCTCTGGATCCAACGAGATCTGGGACGACAGCGCCTGAACACGTTCAGCATCCCACGTGCTTCTCTCAGGGTCGAAGGAATTTTCAGACGCAAACGAAAATCTTTCAGGGTCAAAGGAAGCATTCTTGGAGTCTTGCGAGCCAAAGTCAACTTCAGGATCGTAGGACTTCGAAGAAGCGAAGGATATTCTGTTGGGTAGGACCTGGCGCTTTCTAGACTCCGATGCGCGGTACCCTTCTATTCGGCCAGAGGCAGAGTAGAGAATGTTTTCTGGGTCGAACGAGCGATCGGCAGACATAATGGACTTATCATCAAAGTGAAGCTCCTCTGGATCGAAAGACTTCTGCGTATTGCGCGACTTCTCGGTCAAGCTTCCTGGTATCGATTCAGGATCGAAGGAAGCTTGCGATATAGACCGTTCGAGCTCTCCTGATATCTCCCCTCCTCCAGCCTCCGGATCGAAGGAAGCTTGTGATACAGACCGTTCGAGCTCTCCTGATATCTCCCCTCCTCCAGCCTCCGGATCGAAGGAAGCTTGTGATATAGACCGTTCGAGCTCCCCTGATATCTCCCCTCCTCCAGCCTCCGGATCGAAGGAAGCTTGTGATATAGACCGTTCGAGCTCCCCTGATATCTCCCCTCCTCCAGCCTCCGGATCGAAGGAAGCTTGTGATATAGACCGTTCGAGCTCCCCTGATATCTCCCCTCCTCCAGCCTCCGGATCGAAGGAAGCTTGCGATATCGACCGTTCGGGCTCCCCTGATATCTCCCCTCCTCCAGCCTCCGGATCGAAGGAAGCTTGCGAGATTGATTGCTCTACCCGCGTTGTGTTTACCTGAAGTTCATTTCCTTGTGGTTCCTTCCACCAGGAAGCAGGATCAGCAAGTTCTTTTCGTGCATCCTCGTTAACATCTTTGAGGTAAAAATCAGTCGCGACATTTGAGATCTATACCATCACCATTGGAGGTCGCTGTTGGGCGCGTCAAGGTTTGTCCCTGGCGTTGACTTGACATAATTGGAGATTGCTGATGTTGAACATTCGTCGGCGAGGAGGACGCATTCTTTCTCAGAGAGCTGCTGCCTTGACCTGCTCGCACGCTCGCGGACTTGGGGATCATTCGATGCTGCGCTCTCTTCGCCTGCAAGCCACAAGCACGGTCAAGTTCTACCTCCTCCGATTGGACACTCCGAGAACCTTGAAATGGCGGACAAGGTTGACTTTTTGCGGCTCGTCCGAGCCTTCACGGAGCACGTGAACCTCCACCTTGGATCCTGCACGCCCTTGCAACGATGAAGCAACCTACAGCATAACGTTAGGCGCCTGTCCACCATACATGCTGGTTGCCTCCTCCGTAGACCGTCCTTTCACAGGCTGCCCATTGATGCGGACAAGAACATCTCCAACTCGAAGCTCGCTGCCATTCACGACACCCAGCACCTTCAACAGGCCATCTTCCATCCTCTGCTCCAAGTCACTCTCCTCGGATCTTACCACATGCAAGCACCTTTACTGTAGCTCCCACACCACAAGGAACGTATGCTCTGTTGGACGAACTGCCATCGTCCTCTGAATTCTCTGTGGACAACGAGTCTTGCAGCTCCAACGCCATGCTCTCTGGCTCGAATCCGCCATCCCCTTGCATCGACATGCTCCTGAAAGTCGAGGGAGAGGAAACATGGTCAGGTGTGGACAGGCGGCACAGGAATCTCAAACTGTAGCCGAACACTATCTACAGACAGCTTCCTTGCTCGCAGCATGACAGAGACGAGAAGCACCAAGCTCGGACGAGATTCATCGGGAAGGCTGAGCAAATCTCCTACCAGCAGGAGGAGGGCACAGACTGCTGCAGCACACAGCACTGTTCCATCGCAAGGCAGCTTTCCCTCTCCCTCTCCCTCTCTTCAGAACCCCCGTCATTTCAAGTCAAAGAACCCCCCTGCCCTTGCTGCTTCCTCCTCTCTTCGTCAAACATCTCGTTCATAGCTTTTCTTTCAGTCGCTCTTCTTCCTATCCTCTCAATCCTCTCCCTACAGTCCCACAAACTGCAAATTCCCGCCTCCTTTCCTTGCCGCATTTCTCCTGCTCCCCACCCTCTCGCAATGCTCCTGGTACCTCTGTCTCTCTCTCTCGTGTTTCAACTTCTTCTCACTGCCAGCTTGTCTCACAATCCTCTCCCTCATCACCTTGTCTTCTCCACCTCCCTTCCCTTTCCCTTGCACCTACACATGCTGCATTTTGACTCCGTGGCGACGCAGCATCTGAGGCAGGCTCGGTACCTTCACCATGGCGCCACCGTCAATCAGGGAGGTTGTTGCGTGGCTGGAGGAGGGGGGGGAGAGCAGGAGGAGGGTAGACGAGGAAACAGTCAGACAATCGGATCCTCTCATGGGCATGACGGCAGCGCACGTTGCTGCCATGACGGACAAGCGGGCGGCAACTCAGAGCCTGTTGGAAATGGACGAGGCTTTGTTTGCGGTGAGCAACAAGAGCGGGCAGAAGCCTTCACATCTTGCGGCTATGAGGGGACATGCTGCGATCTTGGCGATGATTGCTCATCGTCGCGACATCTCGCATGATACAGACGGGCTTGGAAATACTCCATTCCATTATGCTGCCATGCACGGTCAGTCCGCCGCCCTCGACCAACTGCTCGCTCTTTACCCTGATGGTGCGCACACAAAGAACCACCATGGAGACTCCCTGCTCCACCTGGCCGTCATGAATGGCAGCGAGAAATCTGGAGCAGTGTGCTTCCTGTTGGAGGCGGATCCCTCGCTGCTCGCTATCCCGGACAACCATGGGCGCACTGCGGTGCATATGGCCGCCGGCGCTGGGAATCGTCATTTGTTAGAGTTGTTCTACGAGAAAGACAGGCAGTGTCTGGGCTGGACCGATAACATGGGATGTCTTCCAGCTCACTTCTCCGCTGCTAACGGGCAAACGGGAGCGCTGGAGTGGATGGGGGAGAGGCAGGAGGGCTGTTTGCTGGCCAAAGACAGGGAGGGCCGAGCTTGCTATGAGCATGCGGAGCAGCATCTCCAGGTGTTCTACCTCTGTGGCTCATCCTCTTGATACTCTTGCAGGCGTCAGCAATGCGATGGCTGCAGGCGAACGGCTTCGCCCCGCAGCGGGTGTCTGGGAGCTCCTCCGGGAGTGCATAGATCGGATTTGCCCTTCAGCTCCTTCGCCCCTTGTAGAGGCAGGGGGAAGACCGTGCGCTTTGCTCGATCGCATGACAGAGATGCATCCGATCGGCGATCAGCAGGTGCGGTTCAACGGTTGTGAGCGGCTTGCCGTGGTGCAGGGTGGGTCGGACTGAGTTGACCGTACGGTAGGTCACCGTCACTGACGGAGGCTCCGAGTTTGAGTCGGAGCTCATCTGGCAGTCCGATCGGATGAGTGACGGCGGCACTGAGTACAGGCGGCCGAGTCCGATCACCGCCGGGAGGCAGTGACGTCACGAGTCGTAGTGAGTCGCGCATCATGTGATCCGGTCACCGTGCCACAACACTGGGCTTGAAACTTGACTCTGTGCAGTGCAACTTACAGGCTCCGAGCGGCGGCGAGACTTGACTCAGTAGTGAATCAGACTGCGCCGCGGTCACCGTCACGGTCAGGCCCGGCATCACTGTAAACTTTCAAGTTGTCCCGGGCCTCCGAGTCACCGAGTCTGATATTTCCGAGTCAGTCACAAGTTAACCCGTGACCCGGAAGTTTTAGTAATGCGACGAGTGAAGCCTGAGGCTTTGGAGTCCGACTGACCAAGGCTTGCCGCGCATCACTGATGGCATTCGAAACTCATCCAAAGGGGAACTCAATATCAATTTATTCCGGAACTCACCGTGAATATTATTGGCAACTTCACAGGCTTCAACGGTGGCACGGGCCACCAGTCACATAAGTTTACTCCAAGCGTGGCGGCCCGGAGTCTGAGATCCGGCCGCGAGGCCACGACCCTTGGGTGCGCGGAACTCTGTCGGAGCCGACTCGGCGAGGTTGCCGTGCATTGCACGAATCGTTCCCCCAGTACGTTTTTGAGAGGTCGACATTGGACTACCACCCGGGCCCCCTGCCTGACCCCCTTTTCAGCAGTCGGAAAGACCCCTCTCCCCTCTCTCCCCTCGAGGGAGCCACCCCCCCTGCATCCCTTAGTTCACTAGATTACTTTACACACTAGTAGGCTACCGTATGGTATTTGAGATCTGCTACCACCCCTCCCTCGAAAAGTTGCTGGGTTCTACGACAGTGGGTAGGGTATTTAGTCCTTGCCTTACCAGCAATGTAGGACTTTCAAAGTGATTTATAGGGTGGGTGGTGGACGAGCTGGGGGGTAGTGGCGGAAAGGTCGTAGGTACATTTTGAGAGGTCAGATATTTTCAATATATATTTTATGATTCCCTTTTTTGGGTTAACTTTTCCTCCGGCCTACCCACCAAAATCTCCACTCACCCACCCACCCACCCACCCACCCACCCACTCACCCACCCACCCAACAACACACCCACCCACCCACCGGGCCACATACATACCGTCACTGCCCGGTGGCAACTTGAGAAGTTGCCAGGCCAGGCTCAGGCTGGCCGCATATGACTGCGTGGCGGGCCTGGCACTGAGCCTCCGACACCGGGTCACGCCCGGCCCGGAGTCAGTGGCCCGGCCACTTGACTCTGACTCGCCGGTCCGTAACTAGCCGCGGAGTCACAGTGAGTACGGCGGCCCGGGCGGTAAATAGGCTTGGCTCAGTGACCGTTGTTTATCGTACTCCCCAGTACGGTCTGCCAGCCTGTGGCACGCCGCGGCGGCCGCCGCACTGCGGCAGGCCAGCCCGGCAGTGAACGCCGGGCACGGTGAGTGCCAGTCACCGTAGCACGCGGCGCCAGGCCCGCGGCCGCTCACTCAGTCAGGGCCGGCCCGCCGGCCGCCGCTCGGACGGGAGCCCCGTCCGCGCCGAAGCCTCAGGGATCCGATTCAGATACCGTACCGTGACCGGTGTTCTTGTGCCGAGGCTTGCGGCACAGAAACTTGAGAAAGTTGATCTTCTGTCCGGTCAAGGATTCACAGAGATTCACAGGCCTTTACTACCCATCTGTCCACATCGATTCGGTTCTGACCCACACCTACCCCACCCGCCGATTTAAAAACTTCTAACCCTACCCCATCGCACGGTACCCGACCCCGGCGGTACCCCTGTTGTCACCTGACTGCCATTTCTGACTCAAGCATGCAGCACCCCCCGGGTCAATAAAGAGACCCCACCCTCGTGCTACAAAGCGAGAAATGTATCTGGTAATGAATTTTCAGGAGGTGGGACCCTGTGGCCAATATCAACTACGATCTTTTAATGACCCCCGACCCCCGTCCCTCCATGACCCCTATACCCTTGCCACCCCCACATTAGACACAGAAGTCAAATTTTTTGGCAACCCTCTACCCAAACTCAATACCCCACCCCCTTTCGACAAGATGTAGAAAGCAGGTGTGGTGTTCGGAGTTACCATCCCCTTCTTCAAAATGTTCTACCTACCTAGAAACCTGACACCACCCCATTAGGTCCACCAAAGAACTTTCCGTCTCGACGGTAGGTCCTGTGAAGCAAGGGATACCACCGGTGCTGGGTGAAAGAAATGTACCCACCCTGTCGTCCTATTTCATTTGACCCATTGTTGTAACCCCCCCCACCCCCCCCATTGGCCCCATCGTCACTAGAGCTAACCGCACACCCCTCATTAGACCATGAATATGACCGGTGTCAAATTTTACTTCAGGATGCCCCAACCCCCCTAGTGCGGAATTTTAAAGAAGAAAGCCCCACCCACCAATTTTGTAACCCCACCCACCCTTAGAAATTTTATTCTACCCCCCACCCCTTCGTGTCCCTTTCGGGCAATCCAGTTGTTGATCGAGGTAACTTTGGTAGACCACCCCTTTGGCATACCCAGCAAGACCCCTACCATTCCATACATCCGTGCCCACAATCCCAGTCCAGTACCCTACCTTGAGCATGACAACCCCCCAAAGACCAACCCAGTACCCTCCTACACTACTGTTCAGGACGCTTGTTGACCCTTATCAGGTAGGTCACCCCTACGGCTTCTTGATTGCATCCCATCCCACCCCACCCCCTCTATTTTTTACAACCTGAATCGAAACCCACCCCTCCACCCCACCCCCATCCAGATGTTGATTCGTTGACCACCCTCTAGCACCCCGACCGGCACTGTCCTCTCCTCCTCACCACCACGAGAATCATACGTGTTCTGTTTCCTAGTCCTCCCTCCCTTCCTCCCTCCAGCGACTTCCTGACAGTACTTTGAGCTTCAAAGTGCTCCTTGTCTGCAGGAAAGATCTGGAGAAGTGACATCTTTCCAGCCATACCGCTCCCCCAGGTAAGCAGAGCAGCTTTAGAGCCACTGTCTTTGACCGGATCATGAAAGATACGTGCTGCAGTTGGTTTTATCTTCGGAAACGACATGAGAAACGTCTAAAGATTTTTCTGGATCTCGATTGTTCTATATGATTGCGTTCTCTGCGAACAAACAAACCGCTCCTCTCCTAGGAAACAAAGAGTAAAAGAGAGCAAGTTTACCGGATCCTCGCCAAGCTTCGAAGGAAGCGATTTTTACTTAATCCCGCAGCTGCTCGATGCAAAGGTATAGTCCTTTACGTGAAAGCCTAGATTTAATCGACTCATAGATACACCGAGCTTCATTTTCTCCGAGCAGGAGGACATGGTTCCGTTTTTGTGGTCTGTTTAGTTTGACAAGAATCGGAAGGATTGCTGAAAGTTGCATCAGGCTAGAGACACAACCAATGGTCAACGAGTTGCGATGAAGAGGGCCGAAGTGTTTTCAGATCCCCACGATCCTAATGATCAAGGAGTACCAGTAGGATGCCAGACGTGCGGAAGGTTGAATCTGACCGTTCGTCAGGTTACAGTTTTGAGAGAGGGTGCGCTACTTAGGAGACTCAATCATCCAAACATTGTACAGGTTGACGCGACATCTTTGCGCTTGTATTTTTTTCTGATTGATGTTTGCCAGCTTCATGAAATCTTCATGCATGACAATCACTGTTATTTCGTTTTTGAGTTGTGCTCATGCAACCTAAGGTAAGCGGGATTTGACACCATTTTCCTTGTCTTTGAATCTAACCTGGTTTGATCAGGGATATGTTGATTGAATTACGACAGGTTTGAAGTTTGATCAAAGTAGCTTCTCTTGATGCCTGCGCAGGACCAGTCGTTGGAACATATGCCATTGAACACGCTTAAGAACTTGTTTCGTCAGATCTTGTCAGCGGTAAATCAAGAAGAAACATTCTTGCTCTCATCGTTCTAGAATTGATGATTTCTATGTTCAGGTCGTATATTGTCATGCAAGAAGAATAATTCATAGAGACCTCAAGCCCGACAACATCTTATTGAATGCAACAAGAGATTTTGCAAAAGTTGCGGATTTTGGAATGGCACGCGCCATGCAGGTTGTCTTGAAATGCTTGAGCTTCACCGTAACGTTCTCGTAACTTTCTGCAGTTTGGCCCGGATTTCCGATATACCGATCGTCTGGTAACAGCGTGGTACAGACCTCCGGAAATCATTTTGGTAAGTGTTTTGGGGTGTTGTTGGTGTGTTGACATTTCGTTGAAGGGTGATTCCTTTTATGGAGCTCAGATCGACGTATGGAGCCTTGGATGTATATTAGTTGTGAGGATTGATTGCTGACAAGAGACATATTAATCTTGATGCTTTGCTTCTAGGAAATGATGAACCTTTCGCCCTTGTTCTCGTGCAACACAGAGATTGAATGCCTGCTCGTGATCTTTCAATTTTTTGGAACACCAAGTAATCACACAGAGTACATTTGCCTTGACTTGCGGTGCTGAATGACACTCAGATGAAGAAGACTGGCCGGGTGTCACATCTCTCCCAAACTACATTCTGCAGTATTCTCCAGCTCCCCTCGTTCCTACATAGCTGACGTCACTGGGACAGGTTTCCACGATGGAATCCAATGGAAATAACTGCAGCCTTGAAGATCCCTGATGACTCGCCCTATCGTATTAACAGTGACATGCTTGACCTTGTTTCTCGGTGCCTTCTGCTTTCCACACCCTTCTACCCCGTCTAACAGGCTAATGCAGGATGCTAGTCAAGAACCCGAACCGTCGGATCTCAGCTGAAGAAGCGCTGGACCATCCTGCCCTTCAGACACCCAGTGCGAGAGCTCTTGGATGAGTGATCCCATGTGCGTGCTGACTGACTGGTCAGATGATCCCTCCCTCGAAGCGGCACATCCGGGCAACGACAATCACGATTTCAATGATGGGGCACGTGGACACCCTCTGGAAGGAAGTGAGCATGAGGAGACCTTGGAGGAATCAGGCGGCGACAACATGGAGTTCGAGGATCGTCCACATGACGACAGCATCGGCTCACGACCGGCGGACGAGGAGGCGAACACGGACAGGGTTGCTGAACAGGTGGAGGAGACAAATGGTGTCTGTCTGAAGGCGGCGAATTCAGCCAACCATGGGAACTCCGAGCTAGACGAGACCACCTCGTCTCAAGTGACATCCTCTACACCCACCGGCAGCGAGCATTCGGTACATACCTCCCCATCTGGATAGAGCGAATTTTGCGGAAGAGAACAGATCGAATACTACCTTCTGCTTGTTACCCGGCGTCAACTTGTATCTTTGATGTACATCTTTTTTGAATCTATATGACTTTTCTATTCATTTTCAACACGGTAGGCAGCTTTATTAAATTCCATCGTGGAGTGCAATCATCCTTTTTTGAAAATTGCTATCGAGAACTTCAAAGAATATGTTATGCTCCCAGTGCGATCAAAATTTAATCGTCAATGTAGCAATTTACTTCTGAAACGGAGCTGAACAATCTTGTCTTTAAGATCCATCACACACTCTGTACATCAATTCTTCACCACAAGCTCACAGTTACCTGGTACCTCTGCACAGCTACAGCCAGAGAGCATATCTCTCTCCTCCCTCCTTCTTCCTCCCTCCTCCCTCCTCCCTCCTCCCTCCTCCTGCCTCCTGCCTGCTGCATCCAGTGCGCTCTTACCGATCGTACCCTGCATTATTGCAATCGCAGGTTCCTTGATCGTTACATGGGTGGTAACGACTACCATGATGGAACGATAGGGTACATGATTCTTATTTTTGTCACCTTCGTGACAATTGGGTGGGTACTTAATATAGTAAACTACCGGTGTACAACAAAGAAAAAAGAAACTGTCAGAGCTCAGTTCTCCTAGCCCCTCTGCCCCCTTGGATGCGCCATGGGCAGCAGCGGACCGGCCGTATGCAGCGTGCGGTAGGGAGGCGGGAGAGAGGCTGAGGAAGAAGACTGGCTCCTGCCTTGAGCTCCTTCATCTTGTCTAGCTCGTGCGTCACTCAGCTCGAGCTGGACATAGGGCTGTGGACACGTTGTCCTTCGATGAGAGGATACAGGTGAGTCAATGGCACTACGTCCGCGTGCCATGCGCCGGGAGCTGGTGGGGTGTGTGCTCGGATGGAGGGATGAACTACATCACCATGTTATTGATCTGCTCACGTTTGTGCTACTTTGACCGCTTTTAACTAACACGATTGCCTCAGGTCACAATCTGGATCAATTACCCCTGCTTGTTGCTCATTACCTGGATCCTCTGCTGTCAGGCGCTAGACTCACCCCTTTCACAGCCTGCTAGGTTGTTCCAACATCCAGCACTCCATAGATCAGCTGGAGCCTTCGACTTTCTTTCCATCAAACATCGTTCTCCAACCATTTCTCAGGAAGAGAGCATGGCTTCCGTCGACGTCACCGACGACACCAGGAGGGCGGAGTGCGAGCATTTCGAGAGCGTGGTCAAGGCGTTCTTGTTCTACAGAGAGCATGCTCTGAACGTTGTCAGCAAGGCGGAAGTCAGCTACGCGCGGTTGCCTCCAGCTCATCAGGCAATTCTGAGCCACTTACCCGCCAAGTTCAGCGCGCAGAAGCAGTGTATAGAGGTGAACCAGCATTTCCTGAACACAATCATCGCACATGCTAGTGGATTCACTGGCAACAGTCACCTGTTGCAGGGTGCAAGGACCGAGTTCAGCTACATCTCGCCACAAGGCCTTGACATGGACAAGATTCGATGCACATTGCGGCAATTCGTTCGGGATTGGAGCTCGGATGGACTGAGCGAACGGAACCAAAGTTACAAACCGATCACAGATGCGCTCCAGAACTATTACTCCCATTATCCGATCGAGCAACGATACCAACTTCGAGTACTGCTCCCAGGAGCTGGGCTTGGCAGGTTGACGTACGACATCGCCAAGTTGGGTTTCTCTGCCCAGGGTTGCGAGTTCTCATACCAGATGCTGCTTTCCTCCAACTTCATCCTCAACTATGCGCCGGGAGAAAAGATGCTCGCTCTGCATCCCTGGGTCCTCTCGTCCTCCAACGTGTGGGATGCGGAGGCCCATCAGCTGAAGCAGGTGCTCGTGCCTGACGAGCTCCCGGGGGGGCTGCCGCCCAACGTCGATTTCAGCATGGTGGCGGGAGACTTCTTGGAAGTGTACCGGAACCAGCGAGGGGAGTGGGACTGCGTTGCCACATGCTTCTTCCTGGACACTGCCTCCAACGTCGTGCAGTACGTGGAGCACATCCACACGCTCCTGGCTGACGGAGGGATTTGGATCAACCTGGGACCCCTCCTCTATCACTACTCAGACTCCCAGGACGTGGACTCTACCGAGCTCTCCTACTCGGAGCTCAGAAGCATCATACAATACTACGGATTCGAGGTCAAGGAGGAGTCGGAGCGGACCTGCTACTACACACAGAACCCCAACTCAATGATGCACACCGTCTACAACTGCGCCTTCTTCGTCGCTATAAAGAAGCCATCAAGGGGCTTCGTTCCCAGCGCATCGCAGGTACCTGTGTTGCCAAACCAGACGAGCTATGGCGTTTCCAGCCCTCCCTCGTTCGCTTCCGGTGCGCATACTCAGTCACATTCCTGATCGACCCTCTCACGACTTGTGCTGCAGATAGCATCGCCGCACCTTCGCCGCAGCATCTGTGAAACGAGGGTATCCTGCGCTTCAGGCTATCAAAGGCCTGATGTACAACTCTGACTCTCCGGTTTCCACGGTCGTCATGAATGGTGGGGATTCGAAGGGAAGATTGGTTTCATCTGCCATAGCGTCTGGCACCTTTGCCAACCCCAGGTGGTATCAACTTTCATTATTGATATTCTTCTAAAAGAATAAGATTACGGACTGCTCTCCAGCTCTCCCTCCCTTCCCTTCCTCTCTCCTTCTCTGGTCAGTCGATCTGGCTCCTTCTGCTCACTACATGTGGCTTGATGGCCACATCAGAATACCTCTCAACTTCCCCTCCCTTGTTCCTGCTTGCTCCAAGCACAGTCAAATCACACGATCGAGTAGGGCATGAGTAGCCTTCAACTGCCTATCGCTTTTCATCTACGAACAGAGGGTTGAGCATAAAACTCTTTAGGATATGCAGAAATTAACACGGGGGCCATGGAGAATCTTCACTAAACTGGTAGGAGGGAGGAGGGAAAGGTCTTTTGCGCAATCCTGTTGAAAACAGATCGCAAAGTTTCACCGCGAAGCGGGAGTCTGAACTAAAGGGAGAAGCAAATGGATCAGTCGCATATGGTATGTAGAGAAGTCTGAATGCGGATACAGGAGTATGCTCTCAACAGCAAAGATTGACGGTTTTCGGAGAGGGAGGAAGGGGGAGGAGATGGGAGGAGGAGGGGCCACATGAATGGAAAAGAGGACAGCACAGGATGGTTTGCAGTGTACGTGAGGGATAGACTATAGCGCTATCAAGGAAGCGGGGGAGGAGGTGGAAGGTCGATGGTGGTTGTTCGGGGAGAGGGCGAGGAGACGAAGACCTCAGACTTTCACTGCGCATCGCGGTCTTGAACAGCACGGCCTCTGCATTCAGCCCGTCCTGATGGCGGCCGCCATTGCCGTAGGTCATGACCTCCATTTCGCAAGAGTACCATCGTGACGTGGTGGCGCAATGGTAGCGCGTTCGACTCCAGATCGAAAGGTTGGGGGTTCGATTCCCTCTCGCGTCAGTTTTTGTCTCTCTGCGCGGCCTGTCCCCGCTGGACTCCGGCCGTGCCCCTCGGTCGCCGCCCGCTGATGATCCGGTTCGGCGCGTGCCAGGCTGCGGCCCGAATCATACGGTACAACAGCCGAACTTGAACGGTGCGTAAGCTGTTTAATCTTTCGGGGACACAAATTGCAGACCTTGATTTTTGCCGTTTTCTTGATTTTCGGCAAGTTTTCTTAGGGTTAGGGAAATTAATAGGGTAGGGGTCCATCGCTTTTTGATTTGTCCCGGTTGCTTCAAAGCACAAAGCAGTCAAAGTATAGGGTAGGGGTATTTGGAGATGTGGTGGGGGTCTATTTACTGCCGAACAATGGCGCGCGGTAGTCGCAGGAAAGCTGATGATGAGGATGTAGCTTGATATTTTAACATGTTTCTTGCACTTGAATCACAACCAAGATCATTCTAAAAGTATATGACTCACGAGAAAGTTGTAACATCATGAGTTATTCATCATGTTGTAATATGAAAATGTGATTTGGTCGCCTCGCCAAACTCATGAACCCTAAACCCAAAGATGGCAATGGAAGCATGTTGAGTGTGTTGAACACTTCATTCGATTGCATTTTCATATTATGAACATATTGCAAGCATGTCGAAGTTCATCAAACTGATTCAACAGTTCTTTTTGTCATCGGTAATCATTGTCGATTCGTACTGCATTTTCTTCTCTACATTCTGAATGCGATGAAAGATCATTCAAGTGCACTAATCCCCACCTGAACCGATGTTTTACACTCTGTTGAACCTGTCCAAGTCAGAGATAGTTGAGTGTAGGCTTATTACACAACGACAAATGGACTTTTTATACAGTTTTTCTGCTTGTAAATTCCTGACACAACGAATTCAGACCGAATGTCAGTGTGAATAGACTGGAATCATGAAGCTGCACAACGCTCAAACCCTTATGATCTCGAAATCTATATCTATGACTGACAATTCCTTTCATTCTCTTGCGTATTGTACCTTGTTTGTATTTCTCGCTCATGATTTTGTTGGGATTGTCTGCTAAATGTGAATTTCCAACATTGGATCGGTTTACATTGTTCATGATTTTGTTTCCACATTTATGAACCAAAACCAGAGAGCAACCATCTTCAATCATCTCAAGGAAGCACATGCAAAGCATCACGAGCCTCGACAATGGGAAAATGCTTCAATTTTGCATTACGAAACTATTTCGTTGACCTCCCCTCTTCGACACATACTTGCAATTATGCTAGAGTGACAACATGGAACGTCAAAGAATTTAAGAAAATCTGAATCAGAATCATACAAGAGGTGATCACCTTTGTATTCTAGATGGTTGCGTTGGTGGTTCATGATCAATTGCGTCCGCAAATGCATGATTTGGAAGGGGCCTCTTTTTCACCTTCTGCAACCAAGTTTGACGCGAGGTCTGAATAAAACACCTGTCCGCGTTCAAACTCGGCGGCTCTGTCACAGAAAGTCTACTCCACGCATCAAACTGCAATGGTAGACATAGTTTTAGGTGTTCATCATTGGGATTGACAAGTTTCTTCACAAGTTTCAAGAATACTGTTCGAAATTCAAGCGTGGAAGTGGAGTATTATCTCCATGTTTGCTGTGATAGCAGCTTTCTTTCAGATACGAACTGAGTTCCAGATGCCTAAATCGAGTTCCATGAGTCGAGCAATGAATATCCGAGTGAACAACTGGAGTTTCCTACATGAAAAGCCTGGGCAAACCTCAGTTCCAACATTCCTGCACTCGTATCAACACCAACATTCGCGAGCCCATGAAAGCATCATATTCTCACCTCAATATGAATTATCCATAGGCAAGTGAAATCTCACAAAAGGAAGGAGACGATATCGTCATGACACTGACGTTAGGTTCAACTCGTTTTTAGATGCCTACTTGATGAGCATGACAGAACTAGCGAGGACTACATAGCAAATTGTGAATTTCCTTCCACAGCACAAACTCGAAGATTCCTCCGGCACGGCAGCTCAATCCGTCTCCAAACCAACTGTCTATTGGAGGGGTGTCCATGAAATACCAAAACAACCCAGACTTCACCGCTCCCCGTGAAATCTTCCCCAAACGCCACATCAAAATATGCAGAAAAAAGCAAATTTTGTGAATTTGCTGATTTCGATCGCACAAAAAACAATGAATATAGCTCTGATGATCCAGTTTTCACTATCTGAAGTTCGATTAGGTACCTATGATTCAATTCTAGTCCTTCATACAACCGTTTCACACTGCGCGACATGCCTGCAAGCACTTTCATAAATTGTTTGCAGCACATGCTTTTCGATAACAAAACGGCGATTTCCCAGATTTTGTCATCTTCAAGTTGTCTTATCTCAGCAATGGATGGGTCTCTTCTTGTGCGGTTTTCATCAACGGAACGTGCCCGTCCTCCTCTTTCGTATGCCACCATTTTCGCGCCCTCTCCGTTTCGGAAGATGCTGTATGAGGGTCTTCAAATCAGGGCCCTTTGGGGGGATTTGGGCCCCTCAAGGGGCCCTGTGTCCCCGAAAGATTAACTTAACTTAACTTTGAGTAAAGACTGCTTCAACGTAAGCGGCAGTGTTTCAATGTTTTTGCCAGGCTAGCCTGGCGTGCCAGTGACTCTTCAAGCCTGCAAGTTGAAGTGGCGGGACTCCTCCGCGGGCCGGGCCGGGCCGGGCGGCGTTAGTGTACGGTCACACTCAGGCTGTCACCGGGCCGGGCCGGGTCCGCGGCCGCCGGAGTCACACTGACAGTAGTGACCGGGGCAGACCGGCGACTGATCGGACCGGCCCGGGACCCCGTCCTGGCACCGGTGACCGTCTGACGGGGCCGAGTTCGAGCGGCCCTGGCCGGCGGATGATCCCGGACGGTCCGATCCGGGCCGGGCCCGCCCGGCCCTGTGGGCGCGGCCCGGCGGGCACGGCCCGCGGCGGTGCCAGTGGGCCCTGCTGACTCGCCGCCGGTGCCATGATATGAGCCGGCCGCCGGGAGTGAAGTGACGAGCAGACTGACAAAAAAAACAGTCAGGACCCCTCAAGCCTGATGTTCCTGGATGACTATGATATCCTGGTTTGCAAGACCTATATATTCTAGGGGTGGGGTGGCTAGGAAAGGGGTGCAGGGCAGTGAACGGTACCCCAAAGGCCTACCACAGATACAATCATGGGGTTATTTCGTCTACATTGGAGGGGTGCTGGTGCTGGTTTTGTGTTGAGACTGCTTGGGTAGGGTGAATGAAGTCACGGATAAAGGGTGGGGTGATTTCGTTGTAGTAGGGGTATCAAATGGATCAGAAAGGCTCGTTGTGGAACGGAGGGGTAGGGGTCCTATCCAATCCAGACCTGGTGTTAAAAAGGTTCTTGATTCTGAGGGGTAGGTAGGGTACCTCCAAAAATGGGTGTGGCGATAATGGAATTGTGGAAACAAGCGGGTAGGGGTAGCCATTTAGAGGGTGGGGGGTAGGAGATGTATAATCAGACGGGTAGCCGAAGTACCCACCCCTGTAGTTCTAAAACAAAAGGATAAAGGGTGGATGAAGGGGGTCGACATGGGTCATGCCGGGAATTACCTCGTTACTTCCTGTGATGTTCTGTGAATCTGTAGAGAGTTCATACCAGGTCATAGAATGCTACGGATAATTGTATGTCTCATAGGACCCATCTAGGCTGCAGGTCCTCTACCGGTACAGCAGCCAGCAACTAATAACTTCCCACCCAGTACCTTTTCTTCATACTATCAGTTTTTACTTACATTATATTGATGCATTTTTGGAGTACAAATCACAAGCATTTTGAAAACCAAGGTTTTGAGTTGTACGAACCAAAATACCCCCTGTGGTAACAGCTGTCCCCGGTCGAACGGGTGCTGTGCCGCGCCGCCGCCGCGCATGGCGAGATAGGCAGGAGGATGGATAGAAAGGATGGGTTAATGCGCTGAAGAGAGAGCATGCAATGGTTTGAGATCGAGTTAATCCATGTAGTTGAAATCCTTGTCATATTTGGGTGTTTAGGTATCGATGGTGAGGAGGAAAGGGGACTCTGCCGCGGAATTATGTTTTTGTTTCCTCCACTTTATCTCTCTTTGATGCTTGCTAGCGATTCATGCACGATTGACCGAAATACCTTTAAGTTCCTCTCGCATTGCATCAGACTCTATATGAGTTCCTCATTTATGCTGTTCTTGTGTAAAGATAGTTGGCAAGTGCTATTCTCTGCACCTTGTTAAGCCAAGACGTATTTTCCGTGAGCGCTTCCTTTGCTCTGTCGCCAATGCAACAGGATGTCCTCCTTGTTGGTGTGATGTATAGATAACATGTGGTAGATCAAGAAGTGCCTCTACCATACTTCGAACTCGTCCTGTTCTAGTGTCCTGACTTCATTCCAGTGCCAGGATTGCCCCTAGAAGACCTGTAGATGGCATAATTTGCGACGATCCTTTTATCAGCTTTGAAGCAGCAGAACGCTGAACATTTGGATTTTTTATTACGTCTTAGCTGCAAAGCATGGTACTGAACTTTGATGTTGGCTTCTCCGAGGATGAGAACCTCAAGTGGAGGAAGTCGATGGAGGTTCTTTGCACTGTGCTGCTCGATGGGTTGTCTGAACAACTGACAGGACACACACGTGATACAAGTGCCATTCATGGGAGATGAATCTGCTGGATTCTTTGCTGTGTATGATGGTCACGGCGGCAAAGAGGCGGCGGACATTGCGTCCGCCGAATTGCACAAATTCCTGGAGAAGGAGCTTGCTCCAGGGAAAAATGGATCGGTGAAAGCTAGTTTTATGAGCGCATATGAGCAGATGGATGATAGACTGAAATTCGACGCTTTGTACATGGGTGCAACGGCTGTCACATGTTTGATTCGTGAGGAAGCGAATGGGACCCGGAAGCTGTATGCTGCCAATGCTGGTGACGCTCGGGCAGTTTTATGCCGAGATGGGAAGGCTGTTCGTTTGACAAAGGATCATAAAGCTTCCGACCAGGAGGAACAGGATCGCGTCACCGCCAGTGGTGGTTGGGTGTCGATGAATCGCGTTCACGGCGTCCTGGCAGTCTCGAGAGCCCTAGGGGATCACGCGATGAAGCAGAGTGTGATTAGCGAGCCTCATTTCTGGGAAGACGATCTGACTGATGGTGACACCTTCGTGATTATTGCTTGTGATGGGTTGTGGGACGTCTGCAGCGACCAGGAATCAGTTGATCTAGTCAAGGATGAGCCAGATGCGCAGGCTATGTCGCAGAAACTTATTCAGACCGCATTGGATAATGGAGGCAAGGACAACATCAGTGTGATGGTTGTCCGTTGGTCGTGAACCAGTTTTGAAGAAGGCAAGATCCTTGAAGTGGCTAGGCCGCCGTTATGAATATGAAATGCGCAAGTTGTTCCATCTGCAGCTTCTTCAATTTTCATGAATCTCTGCACCAAGCGCTTTCTCGGCCTTTTAAATGACTTGCAAACATCCTTGATTCACGTTCGCATCGGTGGATATGCGTATCAAGTGGAGTTGTCGGAAATTCTTTCGTGAGCGAACGCCATGAGCTCAGTTAAATTTTTCGTGACGTGGTTTTGCAAGGATGCGAATAGAATCTTAGAAAAAAAAAAGACTGCAGGCACTGCGAATCACATCGCGCGTATGATAGGAACCGATTCATTCATTGCCCTGACATTTGTAGCAACTTGATAGTACAGGTATCTCTCAAATATGGTTGACCTTCCTAGTCACAAACCAATGTGTAGACTACCTCACTGCCACATCAGAAGTAATTTGTTGAGAACAAGCTCGCCTGCTTCCTAGTCAGAGTTGCACTGGACCAACATGCTTGAAGTACCTTGTATATCTTGACTAGAAGCACTCCAACGTAGAGACAGAGACAGAAATATGCACTTTGATATAAGGCGGCGATGATTCGCTGCTCCTCTGCATTCAACTCCGAGAACTAGAAGCATGTAACGGAGCGTTTCAGATAAGTTTGTCAGAAGGAAGGAGAGGATGTAGAGGGAAGAAGTGAGATGTGATGGGAGGCTGATGAGAGAGAAAGTGAGCAAGGGGAAGAGAGACGGCAAGGGAGGGAGGGAGGGTAAGGAGAGAAGAAGGGAGCGAGCGAGCAAGCGAGAAAGGGATGGATCGATGGGGGGAGGGAGGGAGGCGGGGGAGGGGAGCGAATGAGGTGGGGATCACCTTTTCTACGAGCGGTGAGAACAACCTGTCGATCCACAGCTCATCACCCTGAGGGTCTTGATTTTGGCACCGCAACATGAGGTCCTTTCTACATAGGAGGAGAAGCATGTGAAGGCCTGGAAATGACGACCATCTCTCCGCACCTGTTGAGGCTCTTGAAGGTGACGCCATGTCCTCGAAGAGCGATGGAGGGATGAGAGGTTCTGACGAGGAGCGGGAGGTGGAAACCTGGAGATGGTTCAGCACAGCAGGGAGTTCAGGGATGTCTCTTGCGGTACAGGAGGCAGGAGGGACTTGAAGTGAGACGGTCAAGACAACTAGAAAGGTGAATGTCATGGAGAGAGCGACGAAGAGCATGGAAGGTTGCATACCAAACATGACGAGGCAGCGTGATGAGAACCTTGCTCCTGCTGCTGCGCCCCCTGCCGCCGCCGCCGCCGCCGCCGCCGCCGCCGCTGCTCCTCCTCCTCCTCCTCTACTTCCTGAGCGCAGACATCTGCTCCTCTCCCTCCTTCCTGCTCTCCCCTCGCTTCCGCTTCTCCTAGGTACCATGGTCGCCTCAGTCGCCTCGCCCCCCCGCTTCCATTGCATAGGTGCTGTGCTGTATGAGCCCCTTCACTAATCCGCTGGGCTGGCTTGACTCTCAAGTTTGTTGGGGGAGGCGGAAGAAGTCTGCGCTAGAGGACAGTAGCGAGAGGCTGGAGCAGGAGCGAGGACAGGGGAGGGTAAGAGCGGAGCGAGGACAGGGGAGGGTAGGAGCAGAGCGAGGACAGGGGAGGGTAGGAGCAGAGCGAGGACAGGGGAGGGTAAGAGCAGAGCGAGGACAGGGGAGGGTAGGAGCAGAGCGAGGACAGGGGAGGGTAGGAGCAGAGCGAGGACAGGGGAGCCTGCCCGGGGAGCAGAGCAGTGAAGATGTGCTGGGGCAGGGAGCACACGATTCATTGAAGGAAGCAAGGAGTTACATCCTCATGTAGTGAGAGCTTTGAGCTGCTCCTCCTGCTCAGACAGTCAGAAATGCGAGGCAAGGAAGGAGCATACGCACCAGTTGCGCGATCTCCGACCTCTTGCCCTCCAGGAAGGATTGTCCACCTTGCTCAAGGAACTGACAGGGCCAAGTGAGATGGGAGCGGAGGGAGCAAGGGAGAGGAGGCAGGGAGAGGAGGCAGGGAGGAGGAGGAAGCTGGAAATTAGGGAGGAAGCCGGGGGAAGAGCAGAGAAGGGGTCGGGTGGGGGGGTTGGGGGGATAAGGAGGACCTTGGCATGATCCGCTTCTCTCTTCTTGTAGTCTTTTTCCACCCCCTGCGATGCATCAGACACTCCTACTCTCAAGGTGTGAGATGCCTGTCGCTGTTTCTTGCTCAGCTCCTCTCCTGCTGCGTTGTGCGTGGGGATGCCCTGCTCTTGGCGTGAGGCGAGGGCGTGAGGGAAGGGGAGGCAAGCTGGCAGGATGCGAAAGATAGGAGGGGAGTATCTGCACACACAGGGAGGAAAGAAAAGGGAGGGAGGGAGGGAGGGAGGGAGGGAGGGAGGGAGGGGGTCAAGTGGGAGAAAGATGGTAAAAAGGGCGGGTGGTTGCGGGAAGGGAAGAAGGGAGGTAGTGAACCTGGTCGTCAAACTTGGAGTACTTGTCTGTGAGAGGTTTGAACATTTCTCCCGCTGCTACGCTGCACCCGCTCCACTTCTCCAGCTCCTTCCTCACCTGAAAATGGTACGAGTCAGCGAGGAAGAGCGATGGAAGAGGTAAAGAAAAGGAGAGGAAGGTAAATGGGAGGGGAAGGAGAAGGGGAGGTCAGAAGGGGGATTGGGAAGGTGACGAAAAGGTAGGATCCAGTGGAGGGAATCAGACGGAGGGAGGAGGAGAGGAGAGGGCAAAGGAACCTTTTCAAGCTTGTTCTCTACTTTCTTCTTCTGCGCTTCGGCAGCCTGCATCAGCTTCTGCTGCCTCTCTCTCGCAAGGACTTCCGGGTCGTCGAGTTTCCAAAGGAACCCGTCGGGCCTGTCCTCGAGGCGAACCCCTGAGAACGAGTAAGAGGAGGCAGAAGAGCAGCCATGGAAGAGAAGGCAAAGAGAAGGCAGGGAGGCAGAGAGGAGGAGGAGGAGAGTAAGAAGAAGAAAGAGCAACAGCATTGTAGGTTGGGGAAAGAATCCGAGAGCAAAATTTTGGGAAAGTGTTCCAGAACAGCAGGAAGAACAGGCAGAAAAACAGGAGAAGCAAGGGACAGGGAGGCAAGAGGAGCAGGAGCAGGAGCAGGAGCAGGAGCAGGAGCAGGAGCAGGAGCAGGAGCAAGGGGTGCACCGATGGCAGGCAGCACGTCGTCGCGAACCCTGTCGCAGAGCTCGAGGTAGTCGGAGGCGGCTGATCCAGCGCTTGCCGCCTGCGCTACTGACTCGACCCAGCCCTCGAAGGCGGAGAGAACTTGCGGCAGGAGGGAGCTCCGGCTCTTCGCCGCCTCGTGAAGCTCCTTGAGGACCGCGGACTTGACTGTCTGCACCTTGCCCTTGAACCACTCTGCCTCCTCCTTCGCTCGGGCCGCGGCTCTGATGTCCTCCCTGAGGGAGCAGAAGGCGTCGAGGGCGGAGGACAGAACCTCCTCGTCCCCTCCCGCCCCCGCGCTGGTGAGGAAGGGGAAGTCAGAGCCGTTGTCGTCGATGCCGAGGACCCGGAAGATCTTGGAGATGTAGACGGCAGCCTTGTTCACAAGGAGGAACTTGGCGCGGGCGTCGGGGCTGTTCATGTAGATGTTGCAAGAGGTCACGAGGTCCTGAAGCCGCAGGAGGGCCTGCGGCGTGTTGAAGTTGTCGGCAAGAGCAGCAGCAATCTCCTTCTGAGCGTCCTCGATCTTGCGGTTCAGCACGTTCTCCGCTTCCCCCCATGCCTGCGGAAGAGACGAGACGCCCTTCACGTCCTCCCTGGCCATGGCCTTGACGGCCCCGAAGAACTCCTTGAAGGTCTTCTCCTTCCCCACCGCAACGTCCAGCGTGTCCTTGGAGAAGTACATGGGCTTGTCCCACTCGTGCATCATGAAGAGGATGCGGAGCTGACGGGGGGAGTAGGCGGGCAGCACGACACTCTCCTCCTCCGAGACCTTCATCGTGCTCCCTCCCTTGAGGATCTCACGGATGGTGAAGAAGTTCTTGAGCGACTTGGACATCTTCTGGTACCCGATGTACAGGTGCCCGCTGTGCAGGAAGTAGTTCACCCACTGCTGATGCCCGTAGTAGGCTTCCGCTTGTGCTAGCTCGTTGTCATGGTGAGGGAAGCACAGGTCAATTCCACCCCCGTGGATGTCCAGCGTGTCCCCCAGAATCTCCGATGCCATCACTGAGCACTCGATGTGCCAGCCCGGCCTGCCCCCTCCCCACGGGCTCTCCCAAGAGGGCTCTCCCGGCTTCGACTTCTTCCACAGCGCGAAGTCGAACTCGGTCCTCTTTCCTTCTCCCGATGACAGCGCTCCTTCCGCCTCCGCCAGCGCAGAGAGCATCGAGGCTTCGTTCCAAGACAGCTTCCGGTAGCTGTGGGTCTTGCTGGAGGGGAGGGAGAGAGAGTCAGCCCAGCCAAGAGGAGAGGAAGGGCAGCAGGCAACCTGAAGGAGCGGATGTCGAAGTAGACAGAGCCCTGCGCCTCATAGGCGAAGCCGTTGTCGATGATCTTCTGGATGTAGGAGACGATCTGAGGAATGAACTCGGTGACGCGCGTGAGCACGTCGGGAGGCCGGACGCCGAGCGACTTCATGTCCTGGGACACAGTCAGACCTTTGCTGGGCTCTCTACACATCATCCTGCCTCTCCCTCCTCCCTCCCACTTCCTCTAGTGCCTCCTTCCCTCGCTTCCATCTGCCTAGCACCTCCCTTCCTCCCCTAGCACTATCTCTCCCCCAGTAAATCTTCACCTCGTGGTACTCTTGCTCATAGAATGCTGCGTGCGAGCGAAAGATTTGCTGGTCTCGGATCTCTGCTCCTTGCTCCTCGTCCAGCTTCGATGCCAACAAGTCGCCAACTCTGACTCGCCCGATCACAAACACCTCCAACCATCCTCCACGCATACTTGTCAATCAGATCTGGAGCTTGCATCTTCCCTGCTTGAGCTAGCTTCAACGCCTCCTCCTGCGCCAACACCTACACATTCTTCATTCAGCGCGAACGATAACGGAAATCGAAAAAGGGTGGAACAACAACGGAGGAAGAGCGCACGGAAGGAGGAAATGAAATAGAGCAAAGGGATGCAAAAGGATGACATAGTAGAACACTGTGACCAGCACGGGACGGGCAACAGTGGGGAGGAAGGGAAGCAAGGAGTGAAAGAGGGACCAAGGTTTCAGAGGAAACCATCAATATACCTGATTGTGCTTGTATTTCAAAATGTCGATCTCCTCCTGAATGCTTTTCTTTTGTCCTTTGTGGCTCAAAGTTAGACCGCAAACAAAGAGCATCGTTCAATTTCCGGCCACCGTCCAGAGGCAAAATGCTTTAGCAACACACATCGTGCCTTTCACCTGATTTCGTTTCCTTTGCTAGATCCTCTTCTAACTTAGCAAGTTTGTCCTTGCCAAAAGCGTCACGAAAGTAGCGATGCGGTATCAACCATTCACATTGAATTTCTTCTTCGCCTTTGCGAGTTCGGACTCTCCATCCTCGATGACCTGCCCCAGCTGTCACAACGATCGGCCCAGCCGTGGCCGTGCACCACCTTAGCTAGAGGAGGACAGCTCTCCTTGTATATCTTGAGCAAATGGTTCCTCCTTGCTCGGAGGATGATCTTGTCGTCCACATCTTCACACACAGCCCTCAGCAGACCCCCACCAAACCCTCCAGCACTCACCCGTGATGTTCATAACGCAGAAGATGTCAAACCCGAAGAAGTTCTCAAGGATACGGCGGATCACGTCGAATGCCACGTACGTCCGAGCATGCCCCAAGTGAGAGCTGTCGTAGACCGTGGGCCCGCAGATGTACCAGCGAACGGTGTTGCCGTCCTTGGGTTTGAATTCCACCTTGCCGCTGGTCAGCGTGTTGGACACCATGAGCGGCATTCTTCTCCCCCCCGATCCCCCGCATGGCTCGATCCACTCGGGTTTCTTCACAGCGTTCGCCTCGTCCGCCATCCTAAGAGCTGCCCCCTCTGCAACAACAAGGTTTGGTGAAAACTGGGGCAGAGGCCTAGCACTCGACACAGCAAAAGTTGTCTCAGCTCCTAAACTGAAGAGATGGGAAACAGCGCAGACACTCAAGAGCCAAACTCTCATTCGAACATGACACTCCTTCCATGCATTGGAGGGTTGGGCAGGGAGCCTCTGCGAAAAGATCCCATCATCAAGGTGCAAACTCGGCATAAACAAGTTCGCAGCTGCAACTTCGCATGCAAGAGAGCAAGGCAGCAAGGCTGAACTCTACATCCTCTGGGTGATTTGATGGACGACTGCTGCCGCAATCCCCAAGCACATGCAACAGCAGGATTGAATGTTGTAACAGTGGCGAAACAAAGTTTCAATCCTGCTGTCTGCTGTATCCACCCAAACGAAAAGCCTAGATATAACTTTTCTGCTCTACCTCATAATCAATCTTCCCTTCCTTTCCCTCTCCTAACCCTCCAGCTCATCCCTCTGTGGATTCATCCCAAGCTTGCACCTCCCCGCCAACCACAGTCTCCCAAACGGACACACCCGTCCGTCTCTTTTCCTCGTCGTCCTCGACACCCCCTGCCTCTTCATAATCATCTCGACTTGATACTCCTTCACTACCATCCTCCCCCTCATCTCAACCTTGCTACCTATGCATTGTCTCTCCAGCCTGACGATCCTTGTCTCCCGTCCATGTAAAGGCTCCTTAGCCCTGCCAGTCCTGTCCTTCCTCCCAGCAGCCGCTATCGTCCGCTCCTTCCCTCTTGCATCTCGCTCTGCTTACATATTCCAGCTGCCATGCTCGTCTCTTGATCTCCCTCTCCTCCTCCCCCTCCTCCTCCTTCCTCCTGCTTGGTAGGATCAGCATAACCACGTGCCAGCCGTCGCAAGGAATATTGATCGTTACAACTCGTTACAATAATACACATCACTGTAACGGTAAGGTTGTGGAAATAACGGACAAACAGGCAGACCGTTACATTTTTTCCTGCACACAATGCACGATCGGGGCGAAACAAGTCCATGACTATCTCAGCAGGATGGAGCGACGAGGTGGCCTGATGGAGAGATCATGCACAGAAACAGTTGAAAGATGAGAATGTCAGACTCGAGACTCTGATCGATGACGGGAAGTTCATCCTTTGGGACTGTGAACGAGATCAGGGACGTGTTGTGCTTTGGGCCCATCAAAAGGTTACAGAGCGATGCGTTCATGGCCACTTCTGACTACGTGCCCTCGATCATTCAAGAGCATGCTGGGTCCTTCGCTACAATGGTGATCCCAAAGAATTTGAAGGAAGACTACTTGTCTCGGTGGATACTCGACGATTGCAAGCATGGAATGTCAGTGGGCTTGACTGAGTTTTCTCTCAATGCCGAGGACATTGCGTCTGACTTTACAAGCCGCAAGAGGAAAAGCAAAGTCTGGTACTGCAGCATTGATATTCTGCAACAGACTTTCGTTTGCGCATGCGGACACTCGGTGATCTCAACGGGGAAACTAGACATCAAACGACCTTTTATCCTGGACGTTGTTTGGGCCCACGATGAGTTGAGCTTCTTTGTCGAAACGCGATGCATCGGGAAGATCAAGGCAAACATCAAGCAATCGAAGAAATTGAGGTTCACAGCTCAGGTGTGGAGGAAGCATGACGCTGTAACACTTCTCGACTGCTACTCTCTGGGGAGCTTCCATGAGAGCCGAGGGAGCACAGGAGGGTCCTCGCCCGTCGCCTTCCTGCAGAGTCTCAAAGTTTCGTTGGACCCGAGACAGAGTGTCTCCTACCACACTGGCGATGGTTTTCGCTGGAAGTGCAAATTCTCTTGCGCCTGCACGAAGGTTGCTTCATGGAACTGTTTGTCTGGCCAGCCGTATGACATGGCCGCAGTTTGCAACTGTCCCGAATGTGAAGCGAGCGGATTGTTCCTCCGTTCGAACTCCTTCTCGAGAACCAAGTCCTCTCTGAATCTGAGCAGGAGATTGAGCAGCGTCAGCTCACAGAAGGGAGATGATTTCGTGAGATCGAGCAGTACACGATCGTTGAGGGTTGCGAAGCCGATCTTCAACGACAGCAGCCGATATTCCGTCACATACCTCGGTCACAATGTAAAGTTTTCGCCCAGGAGGCTGGAGGGTTTGAGCTCTGGTCAGAATCTTGTGAAGAGTCTTGAATATTACTCAAAACAGCTGCAAATGAAGGCTTGAGAAGTCTTATCCAACGACTCAAGTGCACACAGGCTCGCCATATGCAATAGCAAGTAGCAAGATTCTTTTCTTGTTCTAAAATAGCATTAATCATGTTAAAAATTCATCATACGTGAGCGCTAGCTCACTACATGGATCACAGCAAAAGTACAGTTACAACTCGTCTTGGTTCAAGAGCATGTTTGGTATGCCAGCTGCAATCGGAAACTTTCCTGTAGCCCGAGCATCAGTGACGTACCACTCAACAGGTCCCACCACTCACGTCCTGTCTCTGTGCACACGAGGCTCCCTTTCACTACATCGACTTCCATGAGAGCGTGATGTATCTTCTTCATCTGCTCCTCATTCGAGCTGTCTACTTGCTCCTTCGATTCAGGCAAACCGTTTCCAACGTCCAGCTGCGGGAACCAGGGGCAGCGTCAGATAGTTCAACTCGCCTCACCGCGTCCGTCCCTCACCGATTGAGCCGCAGCGCAGAAGGAGTTCCAATCGATCCTCTCAATCATTCTGTTGAGGAAATCCGCGTTGTACTCCTGCTCCTTTTCTACCTTCTCTTCGCACTCTATCTTAAGGTGCAGCTGCTTCGAAGCTTCCTTCATGGGTGAGGCGAGCATGTTGTGAGTGAGGAGGATCATCCTGCTAATCTCCCCTGGGATAAACAATCATCATTTCCAAGTTACAGCACGATGCACACTATGCTTTCTCGGTAGTGTATCATTTCATGTTGAGATAAGATCAGTCAGCATTGTGCAGCCTGACAAGCCCCAAACACAGGCGGGGGTGCGAGGAGACGCATTTCAAGGTGCGTGGGGGAATCAAATCAACATGAAGCGGTCAAGGTGGGTAAGAAACACCGGGTGGTCACAGAGAGCCTAGTATCGACACTCCATGTCTATCAATACGAGGAGGATCTACTCCACAGGGAACAGCATAGCGGCATGGACCCTTCTCTCTCCCACACAAGGCAGCCTGCTGCCATTGCCCGCACGCGGCTCGAGGTCTCGGGTCGATAACCCTCATACCGAACACTCATCTCCCTCATTTCCCCACTCGCTTCAATACCTCATCCCCAGACATACCCGCTCGACCATGCCCTAATTCGTCAAAACCGAGTAAAACGTCAGCAACGCACGTTACTGACACGAAAATATATCTTTTCAACAACGTAGGGACTGCAGACCAAGAGGTCGAATAACGAAAATGAATCGTTTGGAGAGCTTACTTCTGGTACGCAATACCACCGTTCTCAACTTCCTAGGACCCGGAGTCATCTGATACCGCCCGGAGAGTCGTAACAACAGGTGATCAGGGGTGGGTAGGTGGAAACAGTCGGACGAAAGGGGTGGGGTGTAAGTCCGCACGAGGGGTACAGGAATAAAACTTAGTTGGCAGTCGCATTTCCACCAGGGGTACTCGACAGGATACACAGGAAGGGGTGGGGAGGATAATCCACCCCTACCTTCAGGGGATATAACTGCGAAACTGACAACTATCAGTCAGCATACAAGTCAGGAGGACGGAAGGAGCACGAGAGAAGCAGAGTTGAGAAGAAGCAAGCGATAGGGTCTGCAGACGAGTGGAGAGTTGCTAGAGTGGAACAGAGTCGAAGTGAGTTGACAAGGAGGAAGGTGCCACGTAAACCTCGGGGAAGCAGCCTGCAAAGAAATCAAACGCATCATTTAAGTTGAAATGTGCAAACCGGTTTTTATTGGACTCCTTGCCGAAGAGGCAAGCAAAATTTCTCATCAAGCACGTCAGATTAGAAAAAACGAAAACTTGAAGGCTGACGATTCTCACAATCGAATTTTACTTGGAAACATTCAATCACCAGACGACGATTTTGTTCAGGAATGCTTCGTACATTTTGAAAGGAACTTGGATGTGAATTGCGATGAGGTTTTTGCAAACGAATTGCATTCAAATGCCAAAGACGACGTAGCAGACCAAGAGTGTTACAGCTGCGAAGGAAGTGTTGAGTCACTTTCTGATCATGCTTTCAGCATGGAAATCGAAGATGATAATGGTAGCATAAATGTTCATCCTAGCTTCACCGAGCAATCTTCCGTGCAAGAAGCAGGTGACAGATCGTTGGAGATGCCCCCTGTCTCAGGAATGAAGCGAAGCTCGACCTTTGGTAGGCACATCCTGTCGCCTCCCCAGATCAACTTCAAGCAGTATGTTCAGTGCCAGAAGGAAAACCCCAACCATATTCGAGTGTTCGTGCAAGGAACTTGTCCTTTTGTTCAGAAACATTGTTCAGATTTCGAGAGATGCCGCAAGCTCCTAGAATCGAATCCGTCTGAACCTGAGACACGAAACTGCAGTTCCAAGAGGATACATGCCATGCAGAGAGCGTTTGATACGCTTTTTGGACTGAGGATCAAGATATAAGTTTTGCAAGTTTTATTCTTTTAAACCTTCTTGCTCGATTTCTCTCCGTAGCTGAAAGAGATAAAATCTGATTTTTTTTGCTTTGCAAGCGCTTTACATTTGTGTAGTTAGCTAAAGAAAAAGTAGAAAAGTGGGAAAAAGTAAACCCAAAAATGGATTGATCTAAAATGTTGCTCGCATGCCAGCACTCCTAAAACGCTTAACCCTTCTCTTGGGCATGCATTGCTAGAGATTTGTCCAAGTTCCTGTATCTTGCCGCGTGTCATCTACGTGTGGATTGCTGGTAATGGTACTGCCGTTCGTCAGATACTCCAGAGTCCCACCACCTTAGCAAGGAATCAGATATGGGCAAGTAGTTGCTTGACTCACCAGACAACGCCGAAGAACATCAAAGTACCCAACCCGAGACAACTAGCCATCATAGTCCACACTGGATAGTTTGAGTCATGCACCTTGTGGAAAGTATTGATGTCCATGTGGTATGAGTCTGGTATTCCTGCAAGGTGCCTATATGCTTTCTGAACTTCAACGAATTTAGCTTGTGCCGATCGCTTCTCCGTCTCCAATTGAAAGAGATCGGGGTGGTATTGTTTTGCTAGCTTTAGGTATGCTGTTTTTACTTCATTCTTGGTTGCACTCCTGTGCAGTCCAAGCACATGGAATGGATCATAAAGCTTAGGATGAGTGTAGCTTATTCTTCTGTACCCAAGGTTACCACAAAAGTTTCGTGATATTGCTTTGGTTGAGGCGATTGTCCCACTATACATTTGCTTTGCGGCAAGAGGTTTCAAGATAATTTCTTCCGCCCAACAGCAATCTGGTGCGGTTTTGACGGGGTGAGCTCTCTCTTCGAGAAGAATCAACTGAATGGAAGCAATCAAATCTTACAACTTCACCCTCGGCAAGTCACCTCTTCCTTGAGTTCGTCTCCTTCCCTTGCATATTGCTTGTGTTATAAACGATGTCGTTCACAATCGAGAGGAGCTAATTGCATTTTGCTACTCGAAGATGGTGAGAATATTTCAAATCTCCCCTCAAAACTTCATGATTTCGTCTTCAATTTTTCCGGTAAAGCAAAGAAAGGGGTAGGTGGGGGAAGGGATGGGGTACATCTTGGTCTCTCTATATCACCCCACCCAGACCCCACCCCTGCTACCAATTAGTTGTAGCGCCCTGCCAGAATGATGCCTTGCGAATGCAGCTGCTCATTGTTGCATGAGCAGCTGCGCTCGGTCTGGTCGGCATGCAAGGGATCAGCATGGCAAGGACGAGACATTACCCTTATGCACTAACGCATATCCTCTCGTGGAAGGGATCTTTCATGAATCCTCACGTTGCTTGATTGCCAGCAATGTTGCATGTTGTGTTTGGAGCAATTTTGCATGTCTCACCCTCACCTTGAGGTTCATGCTGCGAAGCTATTCAATTTTCTTTCTTTTCTCTCAAGCACATGTCTCTCATTTTCTACTGGAATGTGGATGCAGATTAATTATTTTTGACTCGCTGTAATGCGCGATAACCTACACCAAACTGTTGCTTCGCAACGACTTCATGATTATGACATTGCTTCCAGTTGAGTATCCAGTGACAGACCTTATTAGTTTCCAAAATCACGAAAATTCTTCCTTTTTTCGTTTCTGCAATCTCCTGGAGCACCTTGCAGAGAACATCCTCGTACCCGTCGAAGTTGAAGGTAACACGGCGAGAGTAGGAGCTCGCGCTGACGTGGATCCATAAGCTCTCAACAAGCATGGCATGGTCTTGTAGCAGCTCCAGCAACAAGGGACTTGTTTCGAACCTTGAGAGTGAGCTGATGTACTTTGTGCCGGTTGACATGGCTTGTCACCTGCAAAATTGCAGATGCGAGGATATTCCAAAACTCGCGAGTCCGTGAGGCAATGTTGGGCGTGGACCGAAAGGTACTGCTAATCATTACCATGGTGTGGATTTGGCATTTTAAGACGCCTGATGCTGTGCTCTGGTGTGACGTGCATATCCCTTCTATGAACGAGTGTATCGACTGACTTCCTTGCGTTCCCTCCTGACGATTTCACAGCACTATTGCCCGAGGAATCCTTATCAAGATTCTCCTCAGCTGATCGGATACAATGTCACTATCAGTGCTCCCCACATGGTCTCCCGCCCCTCCCCATGCTCCTTCTCCTCCAACCCTCTTGACGATCATGACGCAGCATGCTATGTGCCTGGATGCGCTAGCAGATCATCTCAAACCAGGTGATAGCTTTCTTGGTTGTCATCTGTCCTTAAATCTTCGATCGAAAGGATCAAAGGCTCTGGACGTGGGGAGTGGCACAGGCTACCTGACCGCCTGCATGGCGGTAAGTTTTTTGCTGCTTGAACCGTTGCCGCCGTCGTCACGAATGACTTGTTGCTCTAGATCATGGTTGGGTTCTCAGGCAAGGTACCAATACTGTCTTGCGTCCTTCGATTTCAAGACAATGATTGTTGTCATTTGGACCAAAGGCTGTCGGGGTGGAGCATGTGCCTCAACTTGTCCAGCAATCAATCTCAAATATCAAAGCAGATGGCAAAGAATATCTCCTTGTACGGCGCTCTCCTCCCCCGCCGTGTCCCTCCCTGTCCTTGCTCCCTCCCTCTCCCTTCCCTCCCTCTCTCCCCTCACCTTCCCTTTTCCTCTCCCTCTCTATTCCTCTCACTCTTCCCGTTACTCTTCTCTTTCATCCCTTTTCCACTACAGAAACTAAACAAGTTCCTTAGGACTCAAAATCCTTGATAATGATAGAGGGGGACGGACGGAAAGGTACCAATACGCACAGAATACAGGCAGCTTGATGACACCTTACAAGGCATTGCTGAACATGGCCCATATGACGCAATACACGTCGGAGCTGCAGCCCCTAGTCAGTAGTTCTCTCCATTCAAAATTTCCTTTAGGCATGTGAATGTTTCCTGATCATCCCATTCATCATAGCTATTCCTCAGTCTCTCATCGACCAGCTCAAGCCAGGAGGCAGGTGAGCCAGCTATCTCATTACTTATGTCAGCGACCTGATGCAAATAGGCTTATCATTCCCGTCGGCAACATTATGCAAGAGCTCCTGCAGGTGGACAAGGTAATTCTGCGACAGGGATGCAGCGTGTCTCTTGTAAGTAGCATTCAGAGCTTGGACGGAAACATCAAGCAGAAAAGCATTACATCCGTTCGCTACGTCCCTCTCAGTGAGTTGCTTGATTCGTGTTGCGCTGTCTCAAACCTGTACAAGCTGATCTCAAGGATCAAGTGGGCAATTGAACAAGACAAGATTCGAAACCACATGTTCCATACATGTAGTGTGATAAGCTCATCATACACGTAATCTTATACACTCATGAACCGATTACAAGTGAAATTCAACAGAATGGAACCAGATACAAACAAAACTTTCGATTATTTGGAAATTTATTACATCCCAATGTACACTGTTTACTCGTAGAGGGACTTGGTGTAGGTGGCGGTGGCCGCAACGTAGGCGTCACGGGCAGCCTTGTAGGGGCCGGTGGCGAGCTTGAGCTCGTTGGCAGCCTTCAAGTAGGCATCGCGGGTGGCGCGGTAGGTGGTAGCGTAATCCTCGAGGTCAAAGAGAAGGGAGAACATCTGAAAAGTAGTGTAAGATACAACCAACTTCCAATACGACGAGAAAGGAAAACAAATAGAAGTAGCACAACATCCACGGAAATATGGTTCGCAGGCAACACAATATTCAGGGTGTGCGTGCAATAACAATTACACTGCAATACCGATCACAAGAGGCGATCTGCATTCATAAGAACTCGGTTTCATACACCACGTCGCACACATCCCCATAACACGGAGAGATAGGAGGAACTTACTACTGTTGCGGTGGCAGTAGGGAGAGGACGGGAGGCTTATGAAGGGAGGGGAGGACCCCAAGGGACGCTGCCAAGGGCCGCGCCTCTTCGTGAAGGGCCTTGATGGTACCATGTTTGAGTAAAGTTTAGTACCATGCCCTGAAAGCTTGTACCAGTTGTCAAGAGCTTGTATATTATATGGCCAAAATTCAAATTGTTAATGAAGAATTGAAACTTTTCAACAGAATTATGAGGGGTCTAGTTGATTTTTGTCACTGGCCATCATGCCGCGGCCGAGTCCGGCACGGGCCTGAGAGTCCCGGCGGCGGCCCGGCCCCGGCGGAACCGTCCGACCGTGACCGTCTACGGCCGGGCCCGCACTGCGGCAAGCGGCTTGACCGTCGTGGCACTCACTGAACTTCCGACGGAATGGCATGGGCCCTGAGTGCGGCCCGGCGGGGCCCGGCCGCCGCGCGAGCCGCCGGGACTCCCGGATTGGCTGACAGTGTCGGATCGCCGCCGACCGTCGGGGGTTCCGACTCGGACTCAGTGCCGGGCCTGAGCCTGTGCAGTCACGCGGCGCCGGGCCGCGCTGGCCGGGCCGCGCCGGTCAATGACACGGCTCCGAACAGTGAGTTCAATGGGGCCCGCTTAGATCTCTGGTCCACTACTACGTTTTTAATTTTTACTCGGGAAAAAAAATCGATCCGGGCCAAGGCGTGGTAGTAATGTAAATTCAAATTTTACTCAACTGCAGGTCGTTGAAGGTCTTTCTGGGCCGCAAAGCATACCAGGCCTGATGGACACATCGACATTTCTTGCTAGTGTCTCAATTGAGAAATGTTCTTGCCTTGAGGCCCTCACAATTCTTCTTGTCACTCCAAACTGATTCCCCCCTTCCTGATTTGGAAATAGCTAGGGACTCTAGGACAAGGTCCTATAGCAGTTCTCTCCACCCCTTTCTGCACAGCTTGCTTGGAATTTGGAGGGGTACCAGGACAGTGAAATTGATGTGCAAAGGTGGGGTAATAGTTCTTCTGGGGTGCACGGGGTGGGTGTTCCTCTCGACCCCTAGGTACTGAAGCATCCATAGGGAAGCTCTCTAATGGCCTCTCTCCTACAATGAAGGTCATAGGATTTGTACTCTTGCTATAATTCAGGTCCTAGAAAGCCTATCGCGTGCTACAATTCGTTAGGAGGTCGTATGATGTTCGTTATTCCGGTCTTAGGGCCTATGAAAGCGTCAAATGCTGAGGTTCCGAAGGCGAAGGGCTCAAGACCACCCCAGAAAGTCGAACAACCTGAAGACCCCACCCACCGAAATTCAACCAATACCACCCACCTAGGAAAATTCACTGCGACTAAGCAGGGGTAGTCAAGAATCCTCCCTGTACTTCCTTGACCCCTCTGTTGCTCCTGTGTACCCTCATAACCACAAAGAACACCACCCATCGTGATAATTTTAGCGGGCAATGTTTACCTCCTACCTCCTGTAGCAGGTAGACTCAACGGAGACCCTGTAATTTTGATCTCCCACCCTCCAATTTCAGCAGTTTTTAACTGATAGAACTGGGTATTTGTACACCGATCTGTAACCCACCCTACTCAGAGTCTCAATGGTCTTCTTATCTACCCCTTCTACAAACTGCAAAATGTTGTGACTACCGGTGTATCATAATCCTACCCACTACAGCATTTTGTCTACCCCTTCAAATGAAGTACCACCCGTACTTTTACCACATCCGAGGACCCTACCCACACAGGGAAGCACATTTCAAGGATCCACATACTATCGTACCCCTCGACATCAGTACCCTACCCGAAGGTCCATGAGCTATTTTATATTATTTGTATTCTCCAGCCTACCCCACCCACAAGAGGGCTATTCGTTCAACTCACCCCACTGGTGCCATGATCACGAAAAGTACCCCCACCCCTGAAATTTCAAATGAAACTTACAACGGTTTCCTCATTCACCCGTAGTTTCTACCTATTTAACCCACCCCTTAATATACCACAAAGTACCCTAGGATGAATTCGAAGTACTTAGGGACTACCCTACCACGCATCAGTCTCAAGACCACCCCTCCCTCTTCCTAAAGATCGAACGCTTCCTGCCCCGGCACCCTCCCCGCCCCCAGCTCCTCCCCCTCGCTCCCCTCTCCTCCCATCGCCTGCTACCGCGACCCCTCCCCTGGAACCCCCCCGAGTCTCCTCCTTTTATTCCTGTCTTTTCGACCCCGTCTCTCTTACTGCTCGCATCTTTCCACCTTGCCTTCCCTTTGCCAATCCTTACCCCGTTCGCCCTTTTCCCTGGACAACACCTTTTCCCTCACTCTTCTCATCACGGACAGTCATTTAGCTTAATTAGTGACGTCCGTCTCCTCGCTGTCAATCAATATCAGAGTCTGTCGCTGCTTTACCAGCATCATCGCCGCATAGATCCTTCCTGACCAGAATCCGGTCTCAACCGTGGTGTTGTCCACAATGGAATCCATGGAAATGGTGTCCATGGATACAAGCATGCAGAGTGAGTCCAGCAACGAAGCATCTCCTCTGCGTCTTTGCAATGAGTCTATAATTGACATGACAAGCTCCCTCACTCCGCCGCTGAAGAGGCTGCACACGTACAGCATGGACGACGACCTTTCAGCAGAGAAAACCAGGATGCTTGACACACCAGATCAAGCCTCCCCTGATCAATCCTTTCACTTCACGCACTTCCACAAGGCAGTGAGCAAAGAATCTCCATTCAAGAGAGGTGTGGACCTCCGCGTGCAGATTCCCAACCAGATGCACCTCAGGAAAGGCGCAGTCGTCGTGTCGCCGCACGCCAACATCTTCATGGATGATCAGCAGTTCCCTCAGTCTGCCAACAGCCAGAAGCCCGACAGCGAGCTTATTCTTCACACCTGCGCTGATTTTGCCATGGAGTATGAAGACGCTTGCCATACCCCTGTTGGAGATGGGAAAGAGACTTTCCCAGATCCTTTAGAGATTTCTGTGAAGCGGCAGGCAACGCGGAAGCGATCGAATTCATTGTACTCTAGGAAGGACTACACGCCGATGCTGAAGAGAGCCAGCTCGATGTTGCAGTACGACAACCACTATCAGTGTGTGGAACTACTCGGGAAGGGACAGTTCGGCGAGGTGTGGAGTGCTCGCCATTACAGGTAATGCGAGGAGAGGCTGGGAGTCTAGCTCGTGTTTGCTGACTTGGTTGTGTGAAAGGACCAAGGAAATGTTTGCCCTGAAGCGATCGACAAGAACCTTTCGCGGCTCTCGAGATCGCGATACCTTCATCAGAGAGATTTCGTCCATGAGCTCCATCAAAGCGCACAGGAATGTTATCAGGTAGCGAGCCGACTACCATTGGCTATCTGTTGCCACCGGCACGTTGCCCGTCTGATTCGTGTCGTTGCAGCTACGAGCGAGCATGGCAAGACGGTGGGTACTTCTACATCGTGATGGAGTTATGTCAAGGTCAGCCAGCGCCTGTTCCACATGTGTTTATGCTGAAGTTATCCTCAGGAGGGAACCTCGCCAAGGTTTTGGAGTCCTTGGACTGTCCAATGTCGACGAGACGAGTAAGACTATCGAGCGCCTGCTCGTGCAGCAGTCTCACCAGCTGTCAGGTCTTCTCTCTTGCGTCAGGGTTTCTCGCCGGCCTAGAGCACATCCATGGCTACAAGTTCATGCACCTTGACCTCAAGGTTGACCCGCTTCTCCTCTTCTCTGTTGCATTTTCTCACAAGGACCCTCCGGCAGCCCGACAATCTCTTCCTGTGCGACGAGGTCGGGATCAAGATCGGAGACTTCGGCCTGTGCATCCGCGAGGACGAGTGGGAGGATCAGGAGGGGGACCGGCGATACCTCGCGCCAGAGATTTTGAACAGTCAAGCCACTTGCAAGTCTGACGTCTTCTCCGCCGGCCTTATCATCTTCCAGGTAACCTACCGACCCCGCCCATTGCACTCCCTCCTTTCGTCTCTAGCGCCTACTCACGATCGCTCTTAGATGTTGAAGAACCTGAAAGATCTTCCTGGCAACGGTAACGACTGGCACCTGCTGAGGTAGGCCCCCTCATACCTTCATCCTCCCACAACTCTTCCTCACCCTCCTCTCTCAGGCAAAACTTCTCCTTCTCTGCCTCCGACCCCGGGCAGGACGGCCTTGCCCAGATCGTGGGGGAAATGATCAAAATGGACCCCGAGAGGAGACTATCATCGAGCGGTGATCCTTGACTTGTCCGCAAGGTTGAGTTGATTAGAATTTGCAGATGCACTTGCCCGCATCTTGTCATGGGGCAGCACGCTGACCCTCTGAAGGGTTCCAACTATCCAGTCCACACAGCACATTCATGCATGAAGAGCTCGGAGATCTCGAGCTCTTGTTGTCTTACATATACACTTGTCATACAGCTCATCAATCAATAAAGTCAATTATCCGCTTGTAAACCTGACCTGCAGTCAGAGCGAGTTTGAGAGAAAGGGAACATGTCGCACCATTCTGACATCTTCTTCCACAGGATGGATGACGTTGATCTGCCACTCAGTCAGCTGGTGCATTCGAGAGGAGAGGAGCCGGGCACCTGTTGCCCTGTAAGCTTGATTTGAAGGAGTCGAAGATGTCTTCGGCTGATGATTGCGGCATGCTCGGCCGATCCGTCTCCGACTCGGTTTCGAGCACCTGGATGCTCACAATCAGAGCTTCCCCCTTCCTGTTCCACCATATTCGACTCCGTGACCGTAATCATCATCACTATCATCAACTCCCTGATCGACATCTTGGCCTTCTCAATTATCTCATTATTCATCATTATCTTCTTCCTCCTCCTCTTCATCATCATCACCACCACCACCATCACCACCATCATCACCACCATCATCATCATCCTTACTTTGTTTGCAAGCTCCTTCGCCAAGATGGCTTCCAGTCTCAGGGCGATCTTCCTCTTGTCATTAGCGGAAAGCAACCGCCCGCCCTCACCTCACCTGCTTGTTCTCCGATTTCCTCAGAAACTTCTCGAGCACCTCGAAGTTCCAGGAGAAGTAGGTGATCTGCGACCTCGCGCGGACAAGCATGTCAAACGTGCTGTTCCCCTCCGGCAGCTTTGCTTCGTGAACGCCCTCCTTCTCCTTCTCCTTCTCCTCCCCCTGCCGCCACTCTGTTCACCATCGACAAGCAGAGACAACTACTCTCTCCTCCTCCCCACCTGCAGGAACTCCAACTCCCCCAGGAAGCCTCCCGGACGGATCACGTTCGCTCGGTGGCCCCCCACCATAACCTCGCACTCTCCCTTGACGACGATGGTCAGCTCTCGGATCGCCTGACCAGGAGGAACTAGAAGCGTTCCGGCTTTGGCCTGCCTCTTGCTGGCAGGAGAAGATGAGATGACGTCATCACGTCAGTTTGCTGTTACCTGGCAAGCGCCCGGAGCTTGTCGAACTGACGAGGAGAGAACTGATTGTTCTGCAATGGAATCAGGAGCACTGAGATCAACGATAATGACAAAGACAAGGATGACGATGACAACAAGCACAAGCGCAAGGAGGGAAAAGATCCAGATGTAGCTAACACCTGGAAGACGAGCTCGTAGAGCTCGAGGTCGTCTTGCTCGAACTGTATCGGCCGCTGATCTTGCAGGATATAGAAAATTTGCCGGAGGTGAATGACAGAGAAGATGCTGTAGTACCAGATGTCCCACCAGTTCTCACTCGTGACGACTGGACGGAGGCCCTTGTCCAGGAGCTTCGAGAACTGACCGATGAGCGCACAGGCCTGAAGGTGAAGCATGTTCTTCATAGAGAACTGCAACGAAGGCAGCACATCAGTACGCTCCCTCTCCGACTGGCTCTGCTCACCGCCACTATCTTGCACAGCGGGTTGATGTGGTATGTGCCGTACTTGGTGTACGGGCCCCCCTCCTTCACTCTCCACCACCAGTAGATCGGATTCATCCTCCCTCCTGGCAGGCTCTGCCACCACAACTCCTGCGTCTCCTCCAGTCAGTCTTGGCACACTACCATCGACTGCGTTCACCTCAACTCCCGCAGTCTCGTTCTTGCAGCCCCCTCGCAGCCCTATGCTGGTTCAACCGGTTTCATCGCAGATCAGTTAGTGTTACCTGGATGTGTAGAGGAGGATGGAGGAGGCGGAGGAGGCGGAGGAGGCGGAGGAGGCGGAGGAGGCGGAGGAGGCGGAGGAGGGACGGAGGAGGGAGGAGGAGGGTATGATCCTGAGACGTCGAGACGCCTGGCTCTGTCGGTGGGAGAAGGAAGGCAGAAACTCATTGAATGAGCTCGACGAGCATCGCCTGTGAGCGACAGAAGAGTCATATCTCGCATGTATGACAGAAGGCAGTGATAGAAAAGGGGAGAGTGAGGGGGGAGATGCGAGGAGATTTGCTGCTGGGAAAGAGGACGAGGACGAGAACAAGGACGAAGGAGAGGGGGTGGAGGTGGGGGGGAGGGAAAGCGGGGGGGGGAAGGGACGTACAGGAAAAGTCGAGCAAGGAAAGTGGGAGGTAGTCATTGGGGAAGTGAAAAGAATCAAGGTACATCAGACATAGAGGAAGGGTAGTTGTGTGCCTGCATGACAAGCGGGATCTCGGTTGCTGGTTCGATGGAGATCCTGATGACTGAGCGACGAACCCCAACCAAGGAGCAAAGAGACGGTTAACAGTCTGAGCATTCCTTTCTTCACGGCACGTCCGATAACCATCATATCACACCTCCACAGGCATCAAATATATCTTGCTATACGAATCCGCACGAGAGAAGAGAGGGGTCGTGTCTACCAATGATGTTATCACAGTGAAGGCCGTGGCAGCCAAAATCCTTTCAGGCACCATGTCCGCCTTGTCAAGCCAAAGTCCTCAGAGCAAGGCTTTCATCTCACCTCGACTGAATCAGGTTCAAAAAAACTTCCAATGTTTCGCTTTTCTCTCCTCTGCTCCTGCGTTCGTCTCCTCGTCCTCGTTTCGCCTCCTCGCTATTTTCCCGCCATTGTCGCTTCGATCGGGGCAAGGGACCCTCGGAACCCACCTGATCTACCCCCTTTCTGTCGCTCATTTAGACCGGTACTTTGAATAAATGCATCCCCCAAAGGGGATCGAGACTTGGGTCCGCCTCAGACTGTTAAAATGAGTTGAAATTAAGCTAAATTGTGGACATAATTAAGGCAAACGAACAGAATTAAGAAAATTTCATATATTTTGTAATGTTTTGTTGAATATTGAAATTAGAAAGACAATTTCCCGGTAGATTATTTCAAATCATTTTGAATCAAAATGGCAATGGAGAATTTGAAATCTGAAACGTGGCGGTTGACAGAAACCTATACCACCCACCCCAGATCGCAATTACATCCTTTTTGTACCCCTGTCGATAATACCCTCACCCCCTATTTTACTCTTGTGTACCCCACACTTCAACAGTCTCAGAAGAAGAATATTGACCCCTACCTCATAAATCTCATTATCCCTTCAGCCTACACAACCTACTACCCATCATTTGACCGAAAATTCACCCCTACCCTGGACTTTCACCACCCCACCCCATCTAACCCCCTGATTTCCCTGGCACCTTCGCCTTGAGCGTCAGGAGGTAGGACCCCCACCCCTATGGAGGTCATCGATGACCACGATACCCAGCAACCCTTTGATAGAGGCACTTAACAGTACCCCTACCCCTCATCTACCATTAGGACCCCACTTGAGCCACCTAATCTCATATTGGAATTTGACTCAACCTCCCACCATGTATTTGAGTGACCCTACCATTGACTACCCCTACCTACCCTCAATCTGACACTACCCCCTCGGGTAGACCTTCACTTCCACCCACGCAAGAGCAGACCGGCATGGGCGGCGGCGGGCAGCGACGAGGAGACTTCTTTAGGAGCGAGCAGTCAGAGCCTCATGCGACGAGGAAGGAGAAGATCCTTAAGGCCCATCCTGAGGTGAAGCAGCTCATGCGCCATGAGCCTCTCACCAAGTACCTCGTCATGCTCTCCGTCGGAGCTCAGGTAGCTCTTTCTGTATTCACTCTGGAATGGTCTTGGGTCGCCTACCTGGTTGTCGTCTACGTTGTTGGTGCCACGATCAATCACTCGCTCTTCCTCGCCATCCACGAGCTCTCACACAACTTGGGATTCAAGAAGTCTGAACACAACAAGCTGTGCGGAATCATTGCGAACTTGCCGATTGGCATCCCATATAGCATTACTTTCAAGCCGTACCACATGGAACATCATAGATATCAAGGGGAGGATGGTGTCGACACGGATATTCCGACTGCATTGGAGGCATGGTTGATCACCAAGACCTCTCACTCGTACTTGGAGCACACGGTGAAGAAAGCCGTCTTTATGTTCTTTCAGATCTTCGCATACGCCTTCAGGCCGATGTGCGTGAAGCCGTCCCTGGTTCCCAAGGACTCGTGGATCGCCTTGAACTGGGCCGTGCAGGTTGTTGAAACATGCTTGCTGCTCTTAAACACGCGTTGACGCCGATGCTTGGCAGATCGCCTTCGACCTGGGTATGATGTACATGTTCGGTATCAAGGTCATGCTCTACTTCCTCCTCTCCACATTCTTCGCGGGAAGCATCCACCCGACAGCAGGGCACTTCATCGCAGAGCACTACGTGATGGAAGGAACCGCTGAGACGTACTCCTACTACGGGGCCTTGAACTGGTTAGCATACAACGTTGGATATCACAACGAACACCATGACTTCCCTAACATCCCTTGGAGCAACTTGCCCAAGGTAATTCCTCTCAGTCCTCACCTGCTCTTACCTCTCCTCCTCCTCCCTCTCTCTCCCTCCCCGTCTGTCTCTGTATCTATCCATCTGTCTCTTCTTCTGTCCTCCTTCTTGACTGCCTTGTATCTCCTCTCCTCCTCCTCCTCTTCCTCTTCCCTGCTCGCTAACACAATGCCTCCTGTTCAGCTGCGCAAGATTGCTCCCGAATTCTACGATGACCTCCCTCAGTGCAAGTCCTGGCCGGGAGCGATCTTCCGGTATATCTTCGACGATTCGATCAGCCCTCTCAGCAGGGTGAAACGATCGACTCTCGAGACCAACAAGTCGAAGTAGGCGAGGAGAATACCGAGACTGGGCAGTGAGGGTTGTAGAGGAGCAGGCGAATTAGGACGAGGTAGACACGGCAGGAAGCTGGGGAGGGTGAGGGCTGTTGGGGCTGACTGGCAACGTGGGGGAGAGTTTCGGTGGTGTGGAAATGTTGTAAAGATAATCTATTCACATTGGAAAGAATTAGATTTGTGAACCCCAACAACTCTGATAAGACTAAGAATAACTGTAAACAAAAGTACAATGGCTCCTTCCCCCCCACCTTGCTATCTACATGCCTCCGTGTTAATGCACTTGGCGTACCCGTCGACACAGTCGACTGAAGGACACGACGAGGGAGCCGCAGGAGAAGCGAGCGAGCTCGTCGAGAACTTGCAGTAAGAGAACGTCTCGTAACAGACTTTCATCCTCCCAGGGTCACAGTTGGACCGGAACAAGGACTCCCACTGGATCAGCCCCGGACCAGCCGAAGCTTGGTTGTCCTGTGCAGACAAAGTCAAGAAGACGTGAAGGAGAGGAGGAGGGGAAGGGCAAAGAAGTAGTGAGGTAGACGTGGAGGAAGTTGAACCCAAGGTCGAAGGAGAGAAGAGGAACGGGATCAAGAGAGGTTCTTACCTTGTACGAGAGAGAGTTTGAATTCTTCTGAAAGCAGACGTTGAGATTCTGAAAGCAATCCGAGTCGCAAGCAAGACGATTTGACAGACAGCCCCAATACTCCCGCATGCAGCATTCACTGGAGGACAGGACACACAAGCAGCTCCCGATCCCTCCAACGGCCGAGCAGGTGTAACCCCCCTCGAGCGAACAGTTGGAGCTGCAGCCGTCAAGGTCCCACGTGTTGCCATCGTCACACTCCTCTCCGTCCACCACCAGCCCGTCGCCGCAGACCGCATCGCAAGTCACCCCGTCCCCCACGAACCCTTGGCTGCAAGCACACTCGAAGGAACCAGGGACGTCGTGGCAGGAGGCATGCAGGTCGCAGTTGTCCAGAAAGTTCCCGCAGAAGGCTGGGCCTGTACATTTGGCGAGACTGGTGGACGCGGCTGAAGGAGTCATGACGCCGTCAGGACATGCCTTGCAGGCCACCAGCCCGGTCTCGTCCGCGTAACTTCCAGGAGGACAGGGTGAGCACTGAGACTGGCCGGCAAGGGAGGAGAAGTAACCGACAGGACAGGGAAGACAAGGTCTGACTCCCTCGTAGTCCCCGTAGGAACCGACTGGACACGGAGAGATGTCAAGCTTGTAGTTGATCCGCATAGACGAGGCCTTGATCTGCATTGGGTTGAGGACACTTTCCATGATCCTCAACAAGCCGAAGACGCCGTTGAGCCATACATTCTTGTTGTTAAGGTGTAACTTTCCGACAGAGAAGTATACATTCTCTTTGATGAATAGATTGTCGATGACAGGGTAAGTTATATTCCCGCAGAAGTCCGAATCGCATGCTTTCTGGACTGCATCTAGCTCCCCGTTAATGTACAAAAATAATTCAGATGCATCGTAAACACACACGACATGGGTCCATCCGGAGAGGAGCGAGCTCGGGTACCGCTTCCTGACCGTCCGCAGCCCTCCCCTCCCATGGACATCGCTCCCCTCTGAGGAGATGGAGAAGTAGATCTCAACCAAGTCCTCCACTCCCACTCTCACCACGTCGTAGCCCACATACCAACCCTTCCCCAGGAAGCCAGGCCGCAACGACACGATCCCACAGAAGATCCCGCTGCCCTTGGAGAGGTCCACCCCACCGACCCAGAGCTCGAGCGTCATCGAGGAGCGAGGGAGCTTCCCAGAGGCCACGAGGTCACTGGCAGACGACGGGACAACGAGGCCGTTGACAGCGATGGTTTGATCGAAGACGAGGCCGCTCAGTCCCAGCATGTCGGAGGTCATGTTGAAGAGGGAGGGCTGGTCCTGAGCATTCCACACAGGGGCTGTCGTGATGCACGACGGAGGGGATAAGAGGAGGTCGCCCATCCTGCCGGTCAAGTCCAGCACCAGCGACGGGGAGACGACGGTGTCGTACAGCTCTGTACATCCCCCCTGCACGATGGACCTTTGTCGCTGATAGAGCCCATGATACGTCGATCGATCCGTGAAGTTCCACAGCCCCTTCGTGGACTCCCACAGTGGGTTGAACGCAACGTCGTAAACCTTGAGCTCCTGCGTCGCCAAGACGCGACTTGGCTCCAACCCTGGACTTTCACACCGAGCAGACACGACCGCCCTGTCGTAGACAACGACCTGAGCTCTTCCGATAGCTCGCCCGCTCGTGCTTTCCCCGACTACCTTGACGCAGTCCATCGCCTCGCATCGGAGGTACTTGCTGCCGGTCACGTTGTAGACAACAACCCCGACCCCTTCGAAGGACGAGCACGAGATCTCCACGCTCATGTAGCTGGAGTAGTTCCCCGGGAAGAGCAGCGATGACTCTAGCACTGCCCCAGGAATCTGGCGATGGAGGAAGGAAGTGTAGGCCTGAACATGCTGGACTGCAGCAGGCACGCAGTGTGAACCAAGGGATTGAGCCAGGAGCGGATTCAGATGAACGATCATGTCTGCGGTGACACATCCCTTGAAGCAACTCATCAGTTGAGGTCTGTCAAGGACGGCGTGATAGTGATAGAACTTGTGGACAGGATCTACATGCCCGCCGCATTCGTCCAAGTCGCTCGGAAACTGATTCACAGACTGGAAGGGACCGTAGACTGGGATCCCGTCGAGCTTGAAGCCCAGAAGAGAAGAATGGCCATCCGATTCGTTGGTGAAGAGACAAGGAGAAAAAGGTCGATAGTGATACAGCCCTTCAAGGGTGTAGCTGAAACTCGATGGGTCCGAGCAGGAAGATGCCTCGCATGATACTGTGAAGGGCAAGCCTCCGCAACTGTCACGGAGGCTCAATTCCTCCTGGTACGAAGAGTCTTGGAGCGAATCCGGCGCAGCGAACATGGGGACTCCGTTGATCGCAATCCCGATGATGCCTGTAAGGTTCACAACCAACATCGATTCGTTCATCAATGTCGGAATCGATGGGAAGTGAAATTCCCAGCTCCTGTAAGTAGCCAAAGCCGGCCCTGTTCCTGCAGAGACAGGATAAGTAGGGCACCCTGTGCTGCGCATAATCCTGTAGCTATCAACGAACTGCACTGAGAGATAACCTCCGCTGCCATCCAGCGGGCAAGGCTCGTTCACAAGCTGAAGCATTTCTTGGTAGTGACCCACTGGCAAGATCCTCATCCTCGGCTCCACCATCCGAATCATGGTGTAAGGGGTCTGAGCGATCCTGCTCCTTCTCACGGTCTCTCCCAGCATCCTTGGAAAGTAGCTGACAGCTTTGATGATCCCACTGTGGCTCAAACATATTGTATCCCCCGAATAAACAAGATTCCCGTAGTCCTCATTTGGATCGGTGCCGTCCGTGGTATACCTTATCACGGTGTTTGCAGTAGAAGTCCACACCCGAAGGGGGAGAGCACCGACGATGTCACTTGAGTCAGAGAAGCTCATCAACGAGCCGTTCCAAGACTTTGCAGACTCGGTCGGTCGACATGAGCAATGGATCGCGAAGTAGAGGTCTGAACCGAACTTGTCACATACGAACTGGGTGTCTGCTAGACAGTTGCTTGCTCTGGGACACACAAGGAAAGGATCTGTCGCATTCAGAGATGTGTCGACCTCGTAGAATTGTGGCGGAGCCGCCACACCGGTGTCGGAGAGGTCTGGAAGGCCATACTGAGCCGGTAACAACAAATCCAGCGTCCATCGTCCAGGAGCATTGTTCAGCTTGTACGACTTCCCGTCGGCGCTGCAGACATAAGCAAACGCTGCGCTAGAATCCAGCACAGACCCAGCAGGTTGCTTCGCCCCATCAAATACCTTCTGCACAGAAAAGACGAGGTCAAGGTTGGCGCTAAGTCGGATCCTCGAGCCCAACGTCGGGAGTTCAGCCTTGGACTTCACATACATGTAGCCGCAGGCGCTCGACTGGATGATGAAGATCGAGATGTAAGGCTGCGTCCCCACTGACGGCAGGTAAAGCCACCGCCCATTCTTGTCCTGGAACTGAGGCGGATAAACCTGATTGGTCCAGCTCGATGCTGCCTCCGGGTTGAAGGGATCAGCGGATGTTATATGCTGGGGAAGGATAGGTGATGGCGCACGTGCAACGCACAGGATGCTTGCACATACGAGGAACAAGAGCTTTTTCCGTTCCCTCATGTCATCTCAACGCCGGGATCAGGTTGAAAGGTGGTCACAGGCGAAAGGCCTGAACGCAACAGGAAAGCTGGCTCTCATCCTTCCCAGAACTCACACGATGCACTTCTTCTCTGGTGTTCGAGTCAGTAACGGGTCGAGTGGTCGTTGGTGTCTCGATAGCGGGCAGGCACTCGAGGCAAGCCCTCCTGCTCTCTCGGCAAGCTTGAGGCTTCCACCTAACCAGCGGAGGAGCGAGACAAGTGGTGAGCTATCGAGGGGGGGAGATTCTTTGTTTCTGGTTGTGACCTACAGGCTCCCGCCATGATCTCGGCGCGGGCATCGCCTTTTCCCTCTCCCTTCCTGTCCTCTCCCCGCGCACTGACCCGCCATTCCTCACGAAAAGCCGCCTCGTCTTGAGTAACGGAAAACGGTTATAGATGACTGATCCAACTCTTCGACTTCAACTGGCTTCGTCAACAGTATGGAGCCCTCATCCCACCTTCAACCTACACCGTGGCACGGCGGCGCGACCCCCTGCGCGACCCCAGGCAGTGCCCAGGCAGACCCCCGGGGCCCGGCGCCGGTGCCCCAGCAGCTTCACCGTGCCGGCGCGAGTGCGGCCGAATGAATCTTTGCCATGGTGTGGCAGCCTGTCCTGATGAGCCTCCGAGTCCGGCACCGTTCATGATACAGGCTGTGGCTCAGCACGGCCCCGCCCACCCCGTTACAGTGAATGTGACTTTCATTACTGTTAAGTAACCTCAAGGCAAGATACATATGTACAGCTTGAAACAGAAGCCTAGCCCAGCTTCGGAAGCCGGGGACTCAGCCTCCAGAAGCATCAAGATCTGGTGAGGAAGACAAGGACTGATGGTAGAGCAGCGGCGGGGAGTGACTATTGATGATCTATCTGTCCGACCGCAAGGCTCGGAGCTTGCGGTCCTTCTCAAGCTTGCGGAAGAGCAGCTCCTCGGAGGGCGCAACGTCCTTCCAGAGGACACACCTGTGGTTGGGGTTCATGGGCGAACCAACGGGGCATCCTGCAGCCTCATGCTCAGTGCAAGACGGATCGGGCAAGAAACGCAAACCGAAGGCCTGGGCGAAGTCAGGGTTCTGAGACACGGGCCCGTTGACACGGAAGATGTTGGGACTATGCTCGTCCGTCAAGACGGTCTGGGGCGGGTCAACGTTAGAGGATCGACGAGGCACCAGGTGGGAAAGGCACCTGCTCCTCAGCCTTCTGCCTGTTCTTGTCGCACCAGTTCTGAGCGAAGCTGCAGAGCAGAGCAGTTAGGACGGCGGGCCTCGTTCTCCTCGACGGTACCTGACAAAGAAGAGTCGCTGCTCTTGCAGGCTCGGAGGAGCGCCGTGTGTCTGCCATCCTGGTGACTCACAATTCGCACATGCGCGTCAAAGTTACCTGTGTGTGCAAGTGCTCCCATGCTCGCAGCGAAATCTTCAGCCCCCCCATGTCTGCGATGTTCTCCCCCAGCGTCCCGTTCCCATCGACTGCCCGGCCATAAGCAAACGTCCTCATGTGCGGCTGGGGCCTTACCGTTCTCGCCCGCGATCTCGAAGTTGTCGTAGAGCTTCTCGATGCAGTGAGAGTGTTCCCGGAAGCGCTGCTCAGCAAGGTCAACCTGCAAGACAAGAAGAGAGCAGCAGTCTACCGACACTACAGGCTTCTGCCACCACTCCCGCATGCGAGAGTGCGCGTCGAACTTTCTCCCCGTGTTATCGAAGCCATGTGTGAACTCATGTCCCATCACACAGCTGCCACGAGGCGTCAGATCCATGGCTGCCGGCTGCCATCCTCCTACCCGATCCCCCCAAAGTTTCGCACGGCCTTGTAGGTATCACTGAAGAAGGGCGGCTGCACCAGCGTCAACATCGCTCCCTGTCTGGGCTTTGCCTACCTGCAGCACTGCTGCTGGCACAAAGAGAGACGTGACGCCGTTGTCGTAGTATGCATTTACAGTGCTAGCACGCATACTCCATTCTTTCCTGTCTACCTTCTTGTCCACTTTGCTGAGCATGTGGATCTGCTGGCGATGATATGCTTGCATGCTGTTGTTGAAGTAGCTCTGCGCCGAGACGGGGTAGTCTTGCAAAATCTTTGACCTGCGCAACGTCAGACTGCTGGTCCACGGCATTCACAGAAACACAATCAAGCACCACGAAGAGGGGGAGCCGATGTTGAACTCGATGTTCTTGGCCTTCTCCAACGCAGCAGTCTTGGTCTGCAAGGATGGCTTGTCACGCACAACAACAGCCTCCACTGGCTTCTTGCCTCGTTGTCCATCCACGACACATGCTCCAAGTTTTCGATAAAAGAATCTCGGAGCTGCTCCATCATCTGCTCAGCGTCTTGCTTGGCTTTGGGTGGGAAGACCGACTGGATGTAAAGCTGATCCGTCAACCCTGGCAGAGCGTGTTTGACAGCTGCGACACATTTCTTCCATCGCGGCGGCAAAGTTTCCGTGCCCTCGAGCTCGGCATCCAGCTTGAACGTGGCGTTCAGGAAGTTGGAGGAGAGCAGCGGCGACAGGTTGTAGATCACATGCGTTCGCAAGTATGGGACCCAGTATTCAGCAGAATTGTTGGCAAACATTTCTGAGAGGGTGCTGTAGAAGACAGGAGAGTCTAAAACGATCTTCTTCCTCCCCTCGTTCAAATCTGACAGGCATGTGACCCCTGCTCTCTCGCAACCCGCCTTGAGCCCGGCAAAGTACTTGGCCCAGGGGATGTGCGGAGAGTTTTGCTCCAGCTGGGTCAGGTTGTAATGGTCGAAACCGTCGTCAAGGTCCTTGGCGGGCTCTTCGAACTGTGCTTCAGAGAAGGCCATCTCGATCTCAAGAGTTCTGTTGGCAGCCTCTTCCGCCTCGACATCAGAGTAACCCGAAAGCTTCACGATGCGATGGACATACTCCTTCAGAGACTGCATGGCCGCGACTGAGTCTGCATCCTCATCATCGTAGTAGGTGGCGTCAGGCAGGATCAGCCCGCCAGCATCGAGGAAGAGGTCGTTCACCGACGGGTCCTTCTCATCGGTAGTCACCTGCAGGCTGATGGGAGTTGGAATGCTCCAGAGCTGCAACTTCACCATGGCATCCCAAAGTTGCTCATGGTTCTTGATCCCGTCTACCACCGCCAACCACGGACGCAAGGGTTGGGCATGCAAACTCTCAACCCTTTCCGTATCCATGCAGGAATGAAACCAATCCTGAACCTTGCGAAACTTGGAGTCTTGAGGATAATCTTTCAACATCAACGAGTGCAGGGTCTCGTATGACTTGTCTTCGGCCTCGTCCCACGCCATTGCAATCCCGCCTTGCGAGGGAGGGATCTGGGCCTGTGCTACCCAGCTTCCGCAAGAGAACTCGAAGAAGTTATCGCAGGGGTCTTGGCTGAAGTTCATGGCCTTTTTGACTGATTCCGGGTACTCCTCAGGGAGCTGCATCAAGAAGCTGCTTCTGCTCTTGCGCCAAGTTGCTAACATGTTTGCGTCGCCAACAATCGACGTCTTTGCCCACTTGGTCAACGCCTCCATCCTCGTGCTTGCCCCGGAAAGCAAAAGCACGCATGCGGCTATAGCGACTGACCCACATGCGGCAAGAAGAGCTTTCTTGCTCCTCGAGCTCCTCCGACGGATCAGGGGTAACTCGAATGTGTAGTAGCCCTGCAAGTTTCCACGCTCAGTCGGAATTTGGCCACATTTCACGTCAATACCTCAGGTGCCTGGGCAGCCGGTACGTAGACAATGTTCATACCTGCTAGAAAACATGGTCAATATTTTGCAACAAGAAATTCCAGCCCAGACAAACTACAATCCTGTCTGACCGCACTTCAACATGAAATGAGGAAAATCCCCTCAATGGTTGACTTTCCTGCGCTCCCTCTCCCCCTCTTGCTAGAGACTGCTGCTGTACGTATCGAACAAGATCTTTTGCTGCTTTTCCCTCCTCTGCTCCTTCCCGTCCCCAGTCGTCTGCACTGGTTTTCGATCCCTGGCATCCAAGCATGGTAGAGTACATGTACAAAGCAGGGGTACGGTAGACCAGACTTTGAGGGGTAGTCAGCCGATTTGCTCTATTTCTGGATGGTGCCCTCATCCCACCTATGTCTTACTCATCCCCCTCATACCGGTCAGTCACCCTCATCCCCGCTCATGGTTTCAAAAATTTGGAGGGCACGGTAGGGTGGTTGATGTAGGGGTGATTGAAAAAGGTAGGGGTCCATTGACTGGCATTTGTGGGGTCATTTTAGGTTCTAATGAGAGGTAGGGGGTATCTCGTAGAAAGCCCCAAGGACCGTAGGGTAGTTCGCATCTGGGGCTTGGAGCAGAAGGGGGAGTAGGGGTGGTTGGAAGAGCGGCAATGAACTTCGGAGCAGGTATGCCGGAGGAGTGGGGAGGAGGAGGATGGGAGAGAGGAGGGAGAGGGTAGAACAGTTTCAGCAAGCAAGCGAGATAGTGAGACATCAGAAGGAGTGAGACGGGAGGAGCGAACGAGGCAACAAGTGTAGGGGCACGACACGAGTGGGGCAAAACTGCCATGTGCTTGGGATCCAGTAATGCAAGCGGCAGTGGCGATGGTAGGAACGGATGACATGAGCAGCAATAGAATGATTTTTGATAGACTAGCAGTTGGAATGTGTATGGAGGCAGTGAAGGATTGAAGCCAACAGAGGTGGCGGTGACGAAGGACGAGCTTTCCAATCCCTGGATCACGTGCGTGGGCTGAATTTACTCAGAATGCAGACTGATAGATAGAGAGGGAGCGAGAGAGACTTGGCTCAAGGTGTTCTAGAGAAAAGAGCAGAGAAAGAGAATGATGTCACGGCTGAGCGAGGTTACTCGCGATGCAGTTTGGTACTTGGAGGCAGGTCGAGCCTGGTGTTGGGAATACATTTCATTTGAACTCTCTGTCGCTACATTTGGAAATTGATTTCTCTCGAAGGATTCGGAGCTGGGTTTGGAGCCAACCAGTCGACAGGAGGAGGGTTCGGCTCCTCCGCGGCCGGATCCACGTTTGGAGCAGCAAAGCCAACTTCTTCCTTTGGCTTTGGAGCATCGACAGGGGGAGGGTTCGGGGCGTCAACAGGAGGAGGGTTCGGGGCGTCGACAGGAGGAGGGTTCGGGGCGTCAACAGGAGGAGGTTTCGGGGCGTCAACAGGAGGAGGGTTCGGGGCGTCGACAGGAGGAGGGTTCGGGGCGTCGACAGGGGGAGGGTTCGGGGCGTCGACAGGGGGAGGGTTCGGGGCGTCGACAGGGGGAGGTTTCGGGGCGTCGACAGGGGGAGGGTTCGGGGCGTCGACAGGGGGAGGTTTCGGGGCGTCGACAGGGGGAGGGTTCGGGGCGTCGACAGGAGGAGGTTTCGGGGCGTCGACAGGAGGAGGTTTCGGGGCGTCGACAGGAGGAGGTTTCGGGGCGTCGACAGGGGGAGGGTTCGGGGCGTCGACAGGAGGAGGTTTCGGGGCGTCGACAGGAGGAGGTTTCGGGGCGTCGACAGGAGGAGGGTTCGGAGCATCCACAGGTATATTCTTTTTGTTTGGCTGGTGGTACACCTGACCATGTGAAGGCTTGGGTGGCGCGTCAAATCCTGCTGCCGGTACCTATTCTCTACTCAAATCTGTTTCACTCCATGTTTCTAGTATATCGATATGATTACTTCACGTCTCAGGTGGAACTAATGCATCAGCTGCGTGGAGTGTCCCACAACAGGTAATTTCATACAATCCTTTGTTGATGCGTCTTGTGCATTTCTCACCAAGGCCGTGGCGCAGCATCATGCTGGAGATCTTGCATTCCTGGTGCAACCGATTGAAGGGATGGGCAATTTCCTTGGGAGCCACATCATCAATGAGCGTGAAAGAAACGAGGCTGGTCAAGATGTTGGTCAGAAAGTTCTTAGTGAAGAAGCAGCAGAAGTGTATCAGGCTTTGAACGTTCAGTTCATATCATGGAACCCATGGGACCCAGCAGTCTTGACCATGAATGGTAAAATGGCTAGGGAGGGACGCTTTCGTCCGTATGACAACCTTGTAAATGAGCTCAAGAATCCCAATCTCGGGCCAGCAGACGTAGAGAAGAAGATTTCTACTTTGAACGCAAATGTGATTGTTCAACCTGTGTGGGATTTTACTGACGTGGCACAGGATCAAAACATGGTGAAAGCTGCCCTGATGCCACGATTTTCAGCTGAGACGGTAGACAACCGTGATCCTCAAAAAGTCATGGACAAGATGCCGGACACTGTAGAGAATCAATGGAAAACATCAGAATGGAAACCAGACGTTGACAACTCACATTGCAGATTGAGGCATTACGTCCTGCAGCCTTTGACGCAGGTGATGAGCATGAAGATGCCGATAAGCATACTAATCGACAACTGTGAAAGGCACAAATGAGGCTTCCAGCCGATGAGCGCCATGGCCTCAATCAGACAGCTTTGTCTTCTCCTAATGATCCTCTTTTCCAGTCAAAACTTCAGGTGAGAAGTGACTTTCCTCTCGATGTTTTCAAAGTGCTGCAGGAAAATCCCAATCCCTACAAGTATTGCGTCCTTCCCATCGTAGGCTTCCACCAGCTCCTACGGAGGGTCAAAATGCAAGACGACAAGATTGCTGAGCAGAACGCGGTGCTGCAGGTTGAAAGGCTTGTCCGCTCATCCAAAGATTTGTGACTGTCTTTGCAGAGCTTCGAGCAGCAAGTAAATCGCATGAGAGAGTTTCAGGCTGTCGAGTTCCCCAAGATGCTTGCGCAGAGACGAGCTAAGCAGGTATGCATGAATACGAATCTTTGGAACCAAGCTAATATAGCTCGATGCCAGGTTGAGCTGGGAAGGCGGACGCTAGAGATCATGCGAAAACTTGAGATGCAACGGCAGCCAACAACTATGCCCAGCAGGCAAGAAGAAGAAGAGAGACGGGTGAGGGTGGACCGCATGCAGTTACCAAGGATAACCCGAAGATATTCTAGATCCTCAATGACAGGAGCGATCACCTACATCAGTTGTTAGGTCGGCGAGGGCTCCCCAAGAGGACGCTCCTGACTTTCCTCGTTCTTTCAGGGTCTGCGATGCTTCAGAAGAAACTTCAGCGGCTGGAGGAGCTGATGGCCGAGCTGCGCATGCAGGTACTCGAAGATGGACTCAAGTCTTTGACTGACCTGGGCGATCAACAGGATAGGAAGAGATTGAAGCAACGGGCAATCCCTTCCAGCGCATGCGATGAGGTACTAGGACGACAGTGTCCCCTCCTCCCTGCTCTCCTTGCCCCTCGTCCTCCGTGCTCTGAGCTGGCAGCCTGTGAACATGCTGAATCAGGGAGCTCTTGAGCGATTGGACGAGTTTCTGGAGCACAGGCTGAAGGTAACATTCCCCGACGCTCCTTGTCATCTCACTACGTTTCTTGCAGGGGATAAGACATCTCACGGACATCGTCGACAAAGACTTGAAGGACACAAACACGATGCTGGGCTTCCTCGCCCCATCAAACTGATGCATGTCATGGCAGAGACTGACCTCTATTATCATACATGCCTGATGAGAGTTCATCATCCTCTATGTACACATCCCACGACTCGTTGCTCAGCCCGCCCCTCCAGCTCCCTTCAGCCTCGTGTCCTCTCCCTCGAGGCTATCCACTTGCTGGTAAACTGCCACACATGTCAGAGTCTGCAGAGTCAGAAAGTCCCAACGACGTCTGTAGAAGTGGAGCGGGGGACCCAATAGCATGGAGACGGCGGCCATGAACTGGTAGACGACGCTCGAGGAAGGGAAGGCGGCAGTGACGAGCATGACGGGGACAATCCCTGTGTTCACCCTCTTCGCAACCTGCGCAGTCGCTCAGCCCCCCAGGTGGCAAAAGGCAGCCAACTCGCCTTCTCTCCGCTAAAGAACAAGTTGCCCACGAGGAAAGTCATGAGAGGGTCCAGCGCTTGATAGAACCGCTCGCCATCAAGGCCGAGGGGCCCGAACGCCTGCACGTTGCGTCAACCCAGCGCGCACACGCGCTGCCGAGGAACAAGGAGGAGGCTCACATACAACAACTCGATCGCAAGCACCACACACCCGAGCGAGCGAACAACGGTCATCTGAACAGCGGAGTCAGGCGGAGAGGCTGTGGAGCTGGAGTGGCTGGAGACCTCTGGTAGATGCAGGACAGTCTCCATGACAGGAATGTTGTCCGACAAGCCCGCCAGCATCATCCCCACGATCACAGACAGAGCGACTTGCAGAGAGACTGCCGACATGCTCCCAGGCTCGTCGGAGTGCGCGCACCTGAAGGTAGCAATCGAGCATGAAGCCCAGACAAGACCATAGATGCAGAACTCAAGAGAAGCTGCCAAGGCGGGAAGATTCATCATGCTCCCGCCCCTCAAGCGCAACCCTTCCCTCGCTCGAGAGGAGCCCACAGATGAAAGAGGACAGACAGCAATGGAAGCTCGTGACGGCAAGCTCTCATGCTCCATACGCCATCCCCTACCTCTGAGATCTGTTAAAATTCTTCTGCTTACACCCGCCCCCCTCTCTCCCCATCCTCCTCCTCGGCTCCCTCCTTGCCCTTGCCAACTCGACTCTTGCAGCATGCCCATACTCATGGCATCGGCCGCCCGTCGGACCTGATCGGACTAACCAAGTTTTAACTTAACTTTGAGTAAAAGAGGCTGTTATTAGTTTATCCTGATTGTCCTCGTACTGATTTTTAACTTAACTTTGAGTAAAAGTTTAACCAAGTTCCCGCCGGGCTGAAGTTCCGCCGGGGCTTCAAGCCGGCCCCGGCGGGGGCCCGAGTTTGGTACTCCGGGTCCGAGATCATCCGGGCCTTGAAGGGGGCGCACAAGTTAACCATGAACAGACCAAGTGATGAGAGGATGCGGTGGTCACGCGGTCAGTCACGTGAAGAACAGTCACAGAAGGCGCCGAACTTTCCACGGTCATGACGAAACGGCTCTTTTACAGAAACAATCACGGTAGTTGATACCGGGCGGTCCGTGGGCCTCGCAAGTGAACTATCCTGTAAGCCCCCATACTACTCCCCTAACTCATCGCCCTCATACTGCATCCTTCCAGCCCCTTCAGCGGCTCCTTCGGAGGACACCACCGCAAGTGTCGGGACAGTCGCAGTGGTGACCCCGGGACTACCCGGTGATAGACCAGAAGAATGGTGGGTACTGGGGTGGTCGTGTGATTTATAAAGCCTGAGAGGAGGTGGTGACGCGAGGAACGACGCGAGGAACATTACACGGCAGACAGCAGGAGAGGGCTTGACAGGAACAAAGTTTACATCAAGACATTCAAGACAAGCATGACTGTGCGCGAGCAACGTGAGCGTCGTGAGGTGCCGGAGAGCAGCAAGAAGATGTGCATGGTTTGCACCGACATTGAGCTCGCCCTGGAGGAAGAGGTCGAGATCGAAATGACGCTGCCGAAGGTCCACAAGGAGGAGAAGGTCTCTCAGCGATACGCAGCCTTGCATCCTCCACCACAAAGATTCTTGCGACCTGCTCCGAGAGGAGATGATGATCAGCCTTCTTTCGAGACTACGTCTCCGACAGCCGGCTCCCGGCGATCGAACACTAGGAGGAGACATTCAGTGTCTTGCATAGAGACTGGGAGTGCAGCTGGCGAGCAGCCAAGCCGTGAATTAACTCTTCCTCGCACAAACTCGTTGAACAGCAGACTCAATGATGCGGGACAGGTCTCAAATTCAGAGAGAAGAAACATCTCACGAAGACTGCGAAATCGTCAGGTCGGAGTTCAAATCACGAGAGGCGAGGAAGGCAGGGCAGTTGCTCCGATCTTCACCCTGTATTTGTAATCGACTGATAGTGCTGAAACATGAAAAAATTGATAAAGATACCTGTTGGAAAACAGAAAATAAACCTTTGATAAGTGAAAGGTAAAATTTCTAATCCACAATTTAAGTTCCTGTTGCTGTACGTTCTATGCGGGTGCGCACATCTGGTCTATCACAAACGCAGTGATGCTGACAGCGAGATAGTATTGATCACGTGCGCGATGCGAATATGCCGAGTAGAAGTAGATGTGCAAGGATGTGTGTTAGTCTCTGGCACTTGGATACGTCAGAAGGATCTGAAGAGGGTTGATGGGTCAGCATGAACGTGTCCCGTCGCTATGGGATCACGAGGTCACTTCATGTAGTTTACTCCGAACATGGAGACTAGAAAAAGAGACATAACTTATGAAATCGTTCATTACCGTCTCGAGCACCACAAGCCGGGTTACAACTGCTTGCTAGGTCATGAACTCCATGCTCTTTCCAGGCCAGGAGTGGGCAGCAAGAGGAGCTATGGTCTTCACTTTCCATAACAAAGACAGCACGGCAAGGGATCTGACGTTTCAGGCTAGCTCTCTGAAGTATAACCCCTCCTGGACAACAGAGAATGCAAAGTATGGGTGGTATCTCCTGTACTGCCAAGACTCGAAAAGGGCACTGGCCGCACTGCAACAGATCTAAGCGGACGCACGAGAGATGTTCGCACATGCGTGAGGAGGAGTCACTGCGGCGGCAAGATTTCATTCCCGCACACATTCTCCGGCACGATGACGAATTTGTTGAGATCCCGGTACTCTCAAGCTCTTTACCTTCGCTCGGTGTTGCCTCGCTCCTCGCCCCTTCCCCTCCATCCTCTAGTGTCTCTTTTATCTTTTCCGCTTCTTGTAGCCCCTCCACATGCTGAATTGCCTTCTCCTCCTCCTTCTCTTCTTTCTTCCCTCTTTCCTCTCTCTTTCCTCCCTTCTCCTCCTCGTTCTCAAGCGGCAAGACTTCGATCTGCTGGACCTTTCGGGATGTGATCTGCTGCTGAGGCTGCTGCGGCATGAGCACTTGCCGATGCTCCTGGTGCTGGTGCTGGTGCTGGTGCTGGTGGAGCAGCTGGGGAGGGATGGCAACGACTTGAGTGATCTCGTCCATGTCTCGTGAATCTCGGGCGGTCGCGTCAGGCGAGTCACGGGAGGGGATGTCAATGCGAATGCTGTTGCTGTCGGTCCCCTCAGCAGGCAACGCGGAGCTCAGCTCAGACCGGTGGCGGTTCGGGCTTGTGATGATCTGCAAGGTAAGGTTGACGATCTGGTCTGGCCCCAACCAGAGGGTGGAGGTTTCGGCCTCTGAGTTGCCCTGCAGCACCGGCGATGGAGGCCCGGGGGAGGGGAAGGGCCCGCCAGGCTCGCGTCTACTTTCAGCGGCTTGGCCATGCCCTTCCTCTTGCGCAACACGAACGCGAGCCCGACGGAGAGGAGGAAGGCGCCAGAGATAGAGGACGCGATGATGGTGGTGGTGGACAACAACGACCACGATGGTGTAAAGGTCGCTTGCGCCGCGGAAGTTTGCTGTGGGATGAGGGATGAGGTTTCCTGGTAGTTTGAGATGCCAACGGACCGCTTGATCTTGTCGTTGAGCGATGAGAACGAGAACGCAGACGCGAAGTTTGCGATGCTGAAGTTACGAGTGACTCGCCCCGAGTCCGTGACTCTTCAGCAGCACAGCGGCATGATCTTGGATATGATGACGTCATCCGCCTTCACGCTCTAACTGCTCGGTCACTCGGCCCCGGAATCAAGCCTGGGGCGAGATTCTGAAAGATATATTTCTATACAAACACTACTGGCTACGCACAATCCGACTTCCTCTCGGAGGCTTCGCCTATCCGAGCTTCAACATGATTCAACATGATTATATCACCGTGATTGAACTGTCTATAAACGATGCATTCCGAGCCGCCGCATGAGGGCCCGGTCCACCAACTTGCCAACCGTTGAACGGTTCAGAGTCAACGGTTGCCGCACTGCGCGGCACTGCCTGCCCGGCAGCGCGCGGCCCCGGCCGGGCCGGGCCGCGGCCGTTCAAGCCAGTGACTCACTGTGGCGGCCCCCGGCCGACTACTAACCCGTGATCATCGAGTCAACGCCCCTAACTCTAAAGTGAATCTGTCCGATGCCATCGGATTCTAGCGGAACTTCGTGATCCGGAAACTTCGGAACTTCGCTGAAAACTGCCGGCCAGACCGTCTGCCCCCGGGAGTACCGTACGATTATTAGGCGGCTCAGTTACTGGGGCTCTTCAGCTGTAGAGAGGCGGGCCCATAAACATATAAAGGCGCCACATGCGAAAGAGGACGAGGCGTTAGATAGCGAGCATGGGCGGGAAAAGAGGATGCCATGGAGGTGTTTATGTGGATGCGATGCTTGCTGTGACAGAAGGTAGACACGAAGCGAACAGCGAGCTCTGAAATTTTCGAATTCAATCTGCATCGTTACAAGTTTTCTGCGTACTGAGATTCAGGGTGACAACTGATGGTGGAGTTGTAGATGATCCGGAGAGACGTCGTCATCCTTCTAGCGAGCTTGGCTGCTTCGGCATCGGCATGGTCACCAACTTTCAACCTTGCTTCTCCGAGCCGCCCCTTGAAGAGCATCGCCAGACCAAGGGCTCGGTGCGGTGTGTTCTCCACTTCGATGCAGCAGGCGCGCAATGCAGCCGAGGCCCTCAAGTTGCTGGAGCAGAAGCGAAAGGCGAAGGCGAGGGCTGCCTTTGACTCCCGCTTTGAGGCCTACACCGTGACCATGAAGAAGCCGATGGGGTTAGTCTTTGAAGAGAACGACTCTCAGGCCAAGGGGATCCTCGTCAAGAAGATCGACAAGGTCTTGCAAAAGCTCGTTCCTTCTCTTCTTAATCCTTCGACAGGCTAGCGCAGACCAGGCAAACCTTTTCAACCTCGAGAACAAGATCTCTATCCGTGATTACTTGCTGCGGTAGGAATTCTTCGCACACTTGCCCACCTCACCGGTCAAACAGTGTAAATGGGGAGAGCTGCCTCGGAAAGTCCTTCGATGAAGCCTTTGCCATGATCGCTGAGAACCCCGCCAAGGTTGGCCCTAGTCTTGATGGGGATGCTAGTTTGACAGCAGCCCTGCAGGAACTTGAGCTGACGTTTGCGAGGGGAGGTGTGGAGGCTGTTTACAACCCTCGAGTCTGGTTCGACATCGAGGTAACGAAGCCTTAGCCAAGATCGGGCTAGATATGAGAGGCTCTCCACAGATCGGAGGAGAGAAGGCTGGAAGAATCAAGATCGAGCTAAGAAAGGACGCTGCGCCCAAGACGGTGCGATAGGAGGCGTCAGGCTTCGAGCTGTGTTCCTGTTCTGACAGCCTTGTTCGTGCTGCAGGTTGAGAACTTCAGGAAGCTCTGCTCTGGGGAGGAGGGGTACGGCTACAAGGGCTGCACCTTCCACAGGGTATGAGAGGAGAAGAGGAGACGAGGGAGGGATGGGAGGAGTGACGACAGAGCAGGTGATCCCAGGGTTCATGTGCCAAGGAGGAGACTTCACGAATGGGGATGGCACGGGCGGACGATCGATCTATGGCAAGACTTTTGCCGACGAGAACTTCGACCTCAAGCACGACAAAGCAGGAGTGAGTGCGAGGAAGAGAGGGAGGGAGGGTTTGAACGAAGATGAGAGGAGAGGAGAGGAGAGGAGAGGAGAGGAGAGGAGAGGAGAGGAGAGGAGAAGGAGAAGGAGAGGAGAAGGAGAGGCGAAAACAGAAGTGAACGATAGTAAGAAGGAGAAGCAAATTTAGAGGAGAGAAGTAGTAGGAGAAGCGAAGGAGGAGTGGAGAGGTGGAGTATTGGAGCTGCACCGATGTTCTCACAATTCTGTCAGATCCTGTCCATGGCCAACGCTGGTCCCAACACCAACGGCTCTCAATTCTTCATCTGCACCGTCCCAACGGTAAGGGCAGGGCCCACTGGCTGCTGGGTCTGACACCATGCATTAGCCCTTCCTGGACGGCAAGCACGTCGTCTTCGGCGAGGTCGAGGATGGTATGGAGGTAGTGAAAGCCATCGAGGCTGTGGGATCCTCCAGCGGCAAGACGGCTGCCAAGGTTGTGATCGCGGACTGCGGCGTTGAGGTAACGAGGACCCTGTGGTAGCCCGGGGCGTCTCTTCTGACCTATGGAGCAGGACGGGGCTGTCCTGGATTAAGCAGCTAGCAGCACTGCCAGGCTGCTTCACCGTCGCCGAGTCTCGTTGACATGCTATAAATGAGCACTTAGAGTCATCCCCTCGCCTCTGACCTCGGCTTTGTAGTCCTGACCAACGGTCCGTCCGCATCTCCTCTCCCCGGCGAAGCCTGCCCCGGAGGCTGGCGGGTCTCCGAGGCTCCCATCCCGGGCCGGCGGGCCTCCGGAGTCCCACTGAGCGGCCCTCCTCGGCGTGCCACGCGCGGCTCCATCGCCCGACCAGCGAGAGAGTCACGGTCCCCACTGAGGCGACTACCTCTCAGGCTGCACTGCACTGGACTGTCGAGCCTGCACTGCAGGCTGAGCACCGCCGGTGAGTCCGATGATCGGATCGGACTGCCGGGCCGACCGGCACTAAGTGACTGCTGCCGCACTGCCGCACTCGGCCCCTCGGAGCGGCGACTCGCCCTCTATATATACCCTCAAACTTGAAAATCAAAAACCAACCTGCCCGAATTCAATCTCCTGCCCGCTCTCCTCTCCCGCCGCCAACTCTTCCCTGCTCCAAGACCCTGCTCAGCCCACCCGCCTCTTACCACGAGCATCCCTGCCTCTCTCTCTCTCCTGCTCTCCTGTCAACTTGCCTCTCTCCTTCTCCGACTCCGCACGCCGCGTTCCCTCTTTCGCCACCTTCTACGCCATCGCCGTAACTTTCGTTTCGGCCCTGCTCCTACCACGATGCGTCGCAGGTGGGCATGCCCGAAAGTTCATCTCCTCCTCGTTAGCTTGTTGCTCATGGTGATCAAGTTCGCGCAAGCTTCTTCCCTCAGCGTCTGTCCTCTTTCTCGCGGAAGCGTCGCCCTGCAAGCGAGCAAGTCCCTTGCTGCTGCAAAGCTGCGCGGAGGAGGAGAGGGTGGACACAAGAGCAGGAGGAGAAAGAAGGGCAAGAACCAGGCTCAGGCTCACAACATCTCCTTACAGAACTTTCAGACCATTCGACCCAAGAATGTCCTGCAAGAGCTCCAGACGCCTGAGGTGCCTGCAGCTCTAGACGGCGGTGGACAACAGGACGCAGTCGGCCATAGTGCGAGCGAGCGAGGGGCAGGGGCAGGAGCAGGAGCAGGAGCAGGAGCAGGAGCAGGAGCAGGAGCAGGAGCAGGAGCAGGAGCAGGAGCAGGAGCAGGAGCAGGAGCAGGAGCAGGAGCAGGAGCAGGAGCGCCGAAGATGGGAGATCATGGCAGGCGGAAGCGGGACGGGGCAAATGATTCGGATGAACGGCAGGCACCGCTGGAGCGTTCGAGGGAGGCACGTGGCGAGAAGCCGTTGCCACAAGTCGTGGATCAAAATCGAACCCGAGGAGAGAATGAAAGGGAGCGGAAGGAGGCAGCGTTGAAAAGGAAGGAGAAGAAAAATGTGGATGAGATGGTGGCCGGGCATCAGGAGCGTTCCAAGGCCCAGGAGCAGAAGGATCTTCATGCTCCGACATCTCAGACGCGCTGGGATGACAAGGAGGAGGAGGTGCGCGAGCAGGCACGGGGCCAGCAACATGCAAAGTTACAGCTTGAGAAACATCGGGTTAAAGTGCAGGAGCAGGAGCAGGAGCAGGAGCAGGAGCAGGAGCAGGAGCAGGAGCAGGAGCAAGAGCAGGAGCAGGAGCAGGAGCAGGAGCAGGAGCAGGAGCAGGAGCAGGAGCAGGAGCAAGTGCAGAAGAGCGTGCAGGAGAGCGTGCAGGATCGGCGAGAGCGTCAAGGTACGGAAGAGCGTTACAGATTTCAGGAGCGGCAGAGGCAATGGGATCAGCATCAGGAGAAGGCGCCTCTGCACGATTCAGCAGGTCATCAGCGAAGAGGGCAGAGGATGTTTCAGCGGGAGTTGACTCCCGAAAGTCTGCATGGTAGCGATGAGGATGATGAAGATACGGACTTCTTCGATTTCGACTATGTGCCGAGATCGACCTTGACGCAGCGGAGAGAGAAGGAGGAGGAGGAGAAGTTGAAGATGTTCGGAGGGCGGCTGGGAGATATCGTTAACAAGCCTGTCACCCCTAGATGGAAGAGCGTTGATGACGAAGTCGTTCAGCAAGAAGACTTGGCTCAGGGGATGACTTGGTCGCAGAGGAGGAAGCTGGAGGAGGTGGAGAGGATTGCGAGGGAGTTTGGAGGAGGTCTTGACGCCCTCAGGAGTGGCAAGGAAGAGGGGAGCGAGCCTGAGAATTTTCAGGCAGGGCCGCTGGACTCATTGCAGAGCCCCAGCTGGAAAGAGAGGAAGAGGAAGGAGCAGGAGGACCTGATGAAATCTTTCGGGGGAGGGCTTGACAGTCTCGTGAAGCATGAATCTTCCTTTGAGAGGCAGAAGAGACTGGCGAGGGAACGGGCAGAGAAGAGGCGACAACGTGGGGAGCGAGCTCAGGAGAATGAAGCTGGGAGGGATTGAGCTTGGGGAAATGTATGCAGTCACATTATAAGGATGAGAAGAGATCTACAGATTCCAAAGAGGGAGGGTGAAAGGGCGAGAGCCACATCCATAGCATGTTCCCGAACACCTGACGTCAGCCAGTCAATCACATGCAGGAGGTGGGAGGTGGAGGAGGAAGGCAGGGAGGGATGGGGAGGAGGGGGAGGGGGTGGGACCTTCTTGAAGTTTCTCAGCGTGTTGCCATTGTTGTACTTCCCGGTCTCGCCCTTGAGAGCCTCGATGGTTGTCGTGTCACGAGAAATCAAGTACATGTGGATCAGGAAAAGGGGAAGGAGGATGAAGGAAATCATGCAGATCGCAACCGCGTTCGCCAACGCCATGTTCCTCGAGAACTCGTCCATGGACCCATGGGCCCACACGATACAGACATAGTCGCAGAACGCGTTGTACGCCCCTCCTACGATAGTGTAGAAAAGGAGGAGGAGGAAAAACTTGTAGTTGCCCTGGCCGACGCAGTTGTTGACGAACAGACAGTGCTGTGGGGAGGGCGTGGGGCAAGAGAGGGTGTCAGATGCTGCTGTGCGGCAATCACAGCTCGTTACATGGTCCATCTTCCTCACACATCGGTTGCACGTGCTGCAGTGATGTGCTCGCTGCGGGCGAGAAGCCAAGCACTTGGAGCAGAAGTCGGGTTGGAATGCCTCCCTCTCCGCGCTGCAGCAGCCACATCAGCCACCTCATCATCGTTGCAGGCTCGATGAAACAAGAAGTTTCATCCTCCTTCACCTCCTGGCTGCTCCGGGGATCTTGACGTAGCCTGGATCCGTCATTACGGCCTTGTAGAGGCTGAACAGGAGGCAGCTGTGAAGGAAAAAACTCACAGGATAGCAGAACACGAGGAAGAAAGCTTCGCAGAAGGCAACATACCCGTGCAGAAAATGGTGAAATCCAGTGATGGAGACCGCGGGCACCACTCCCAGCTTGCGATATTGCGATTGAGCACGCAGATGAAAACCTTTCCCGCACTCACCTCGAGCAGCTCCGGGAACACAATGATCCAATGAATGATGAAAGTCCAGACACACAGGGCAACGATGAAGGCAACGAGCAGGCATCCGATGAGGTAAGAGCTGCTGGGCACAGGCCATCAACTTGGGCCTCAGGAGCTCGCTCGCCTTACCTGGGACCCCCCAGCAGCGCATCCTCTCGGTTCTTGTGGGACAGCATCGACTCGCCGACTGACTGAGATCAGCTCATGGAGCCGAAGTCGACCTGGATGAAGGAAGACATGAGAGCGCTAGGTGCATCCTCGTCGTAGCCATGTCCCTGCCATACCATCGCATGCTAGTCTAGTTCATGGCGGCATCATCAGTGACTAGGAAAGTTGTTCCGGGCCCCGGGCTGTCGTGGGCTCCCCGTGTTTCAAAAATCATCATTTAAAATAAACATACTTAATTTCAAACCCTACAAGACAGGGACTCAAATTTTGAATTTCACTGGACAAGGCAAATATAGAGTAATTTCGAATTTCCTTCATGAAAATTCCAAATATCAATTACAGGAAATTAAAAATGATATCTTTCCATTCCGAGTACCCCCCCTCACAGCTCTATCAACCCAGGCTCGGAGGTGTCTGCCCTCGGAACCTACCCCTCCTTTCCCTCTGATGAGTATGACAATACTACCCTACCCTTGAGTACCCACCCTCCACCTGTGATACAAATTCATTTTTATTGAACTCAGATAGGGGCCTTAGGAGGGTTGTAGGCATACTAGTACCTCACTAATGGATTGGTGCTAGCAGTGGGTTTTATTAGAATGCTTGCGTTTACTAAGACCATAGACTATGATATACGGTATTAGGACCCTTATAGGTTTGGTTGTATGAATCCATGGACTTCTTCCACTAGGAGGGTCCTAGGAACCCTACACCGTAGCTGCCAACATGGCGCGCGAGACAGCGGAGGATAGAAGGTGGCGAGAGGGGATGGAAGGAGGAGATACGAGGGCGGCGAGGCAGGAACAAGAGACAGAATGATGAAAACACTGATGTGGAGAAGAAGAAGTTTGTGAGTATGTGGAGGCATCCCGGTGAATGGTACTGGAATCGAACACCTGGTGAAGGATATTCAAAAATTTGGCAGAGTGTTGAAGGTTGTGGGAGATCAATGACGAGGTCTGTTGTGCTGGATTTATGTTATTACATGCAGTCATGCTGTTTAGATACATTAGTCTTGGATAATTCGTCAAAGTTGCAGTAGGTCTGAAACTCTCGGATGGACAGAGGATTTTTTTGAAAATCCACGGTAACATGAAGGATAAAAATTCGAATAGATTGCCATGTTGATTGATCTGCAGAGGTATAGAGTAGAAATAACACAAATATAATCATGCTTTGCTCCTATTGCTTGGCTTGGCTTTGGTGTTATGTTGAGCGAATGCATACAGTGAATCGTCGTGTGTAGAAACTTTTGATGGGTGTGCCCGGACATATGACTTAATCTCATCATGTCCTGCTCACCTCTTGTGGTACAGATTGCTGGGTTACTTCGGATTTGATTAGAAACGGCGGAAATCAAATCAGTTTGTCAAATACTCCAGCACCGAGCGATTCCTGAAGCAACAGAAGGCCATGCAGAATATGGATAGTCAATCCGCTTCTATTGATCAAGGACTATCATCCCTCAATGTGAAGATCTATATCATGTTGATTCGCAAGCATGACACAGCCATGCAGATAAATGGAAGCGATGCGGGCTCAGGGACTCCCTCGAAAGCGCCATCCACGGGGGCATATGAGGGAAGATACAATGTAATCGATCGCGTCTGTGTCACTTGAGAGTGCACTGAGGCATGTACTTGAACCCAGGGCTCAGAAGTTGAACAAGTGTGTGCTTGGATTCATGAATTGCTTGGAGTAGAGCTAGACCCTACTAACCTTCAACCGGCTTTAAAGTCCGGCAAGGTTCTTTGTGAATTGGTATGTTTCCAGTTCGATAATGACGACACAATGACTTCTTGTCCTCAAGGTCAATAGAATAAGTCCGAAGGCTGTGAAGAAAATCAACTCCTCTGAAATGCCCTTTGCACAAAGAGAGAACATCCAATCTTTCAGCGATGCTGTATTTTTGCTTTTTCACATTCTTTTTGATTGATCGATGATTTCACAGGTTAGAACACTTGGCGTCAAGGATATCAATAATTTTGCAGCAGACGACCTGTACGAAGCAAAGAACATGAAGCAGGTCAAACGCTTCACCCCTCATCTCCCTTTTTGTAAAGGGTATCCAGGTCGTTATCTGCATTCTAGCGTTGGGGAAACAAGCATGGTTTGTATCTGATTACAATGGACCATGCATCGGAAGGCCGGATATATCTCAGATTAGCATTGAAACCGTAATTTGTGTTGCGAGTGTTTCACTATGGTGACACTTTCGTCGAAGAAACCGGCAATTTCTCCGCTTCCAAAAGGTGGGGCTTCGTCGGACGACTCTCATGCAAACAGAAAGTATAAGTGGGATGTGAAGCCTGGCGGCTCCTATGTGCCGACGGTTGTGACTTGCTTCCTACGACTTGAAGTGGCACTGAAGTGACACGTTAGGTACCGTCTCTGGGAAAGAAGGAGGACACTAAGGAGAGCGAGGAGCATCGTCAGCGCAAGTAAGGATTCGATGGTAATTGCTACTGTTATGGTTGATGGGGCTTCCTTTTGCAACAGATGGGAAGTCAAATTTGCCCCCCAACTTGCAACGGCAACTCGCCGCACTCTGGTTGTCACCTCAGATGTGATGAACTACATGAATCAGTTCAGCAACGAGAATCAGCTCAGGACGGCCATGGGTGGAGGTGGTCAGAGTGAGGCACAGCCTCCTAAGAAAGAGCCAGTCCCTCAGCATGTAAACAAGACTGCAATTAAGCCAGCGCCTGTTAGTGAAGCGGAGGAATCGGTTGAGGTCCAGGTTGGTCTTGCTAATTTTGCTTGAGATGCCTGATGTTGTGGATCTGTAGGAGACAAACCAAGACACTGCTGAGAGAGAAGAAAACTTTGACGAAAAAGAGGAATCTTACAATGATGAGGTACAGCCCGTTTGACGTTTTTCAGTGCCTTATTGACTCACTTCTTGTTTCTGAATGACTGCCAAATGCTGAAATAATTCCAGGGTGATGATGATGATCTTGGTGATGATGATGGTTCCTTGTACAAGGGCATTCCACCAGCCGGTGTCATTGAGGGCCTCATGATGATGCTGAATTCTCCAGATGCCACTGGTATGACATACTTCTTCCTATGCAACCTGTTGTTTTCTGCATTTGACGGCTGCAATTGCAGAGAAAGCGAAGGCAGCAGCAGCGCTGTGTAATATATGTTCAGAGACAGATCCGAATAGGGAGCTCGTTGTGCAGGCTGGTGGACTTCCTTCGCTTATCGATATGCTCAAGAACCCGTAAGGGCTGTCCCACCTGTGGAAGTCTCTCACGCATTCTTTCTTGAAACAGATCGCCCGAAGTACCTTTCATGCAGTCAGCAGCTGCTGCATGCTTATGCAACCTTGCTGCGAATATGAACTCGAAAGAGGTGATTTCAAACATCTAGTTTCTTGGGGAGATTGCCTTACATATCTGGTCAGATCATTGCAACATCTGGAGCTTTGGAAGTGTTGGTTGATGTGTTGAAATCGGACAACCAAGCAGCTGCCGCCCAGGCTGCTGGAGCGCTGTGGTCTTTGTGTGTGGACAACGACATGAACAAGCAGCGAGTGGCTGATGCTGGGGCAATACCACATCTCATCACCTTGTTATATGCGCCGGATACATTTGCACAATCTCAGGTCCAAATTCCTTCGTCACTGTCTTGTTGTCTCACGAGGAGCTTTTTAGTCGGCTGGAGCGCTGTCCGAGTGCTCAATTCGCAACGACAACAACAAGAAGCTGATTTCCGAGCATGGAGCCATCCTCCCCCTTGTTAAGATGTTGAGATCGCCGGTAGCTACTTCTGCCGGATGGGCTCTTGGCTGATCTAACGATTTTGGCTCGCAGGATCTTTCAGTTCAACGTCTTTCTTCGTGTGCAATTTGCAATGTTTGTGCAAACCACGAGGCGAACAAGAAGGAGGCGAGAGAAAGGGGGGCTCTGCCGGTCCTTGTTCACCTGCTCTCAACCTCTCAGGTGCTTTATCTGACTGAAGGACTTGTTGAGTGACTCCTACCAGGTTCCAGAGGTGCTTTCCCCTGTGGCTGGTGCCATCTGCAACTTGTCGATGAAGTGTGCAGAGAACAGGGCGGAGTTTATCCGTTTAGGAGCAGCTGAGATCTTGCGGCATTATGTTCCTTCGCCTGTCCCGTCGCTGCATGGCAATGCTCTAGCTGCCTTGGAACAGCTGGAGTTGGGATGATAGTAGAGACAGCAAGGTCCGCTGAGCACTCCGATACTTTGACACCCTCATGTCATAAAGCCTGCCTTGAAGATTTCCCGTGACGCAGTGGCCACAGCGGCCCTGGGCCCGGTACCGGGCCCGGTTTAGCCTGACTATCATATCATCAATGATCGGCGGAGTCTGACTGCCGGGGAGCCGGGCCGCCGCCGCTCGGCCTCACTGATCAGGCTGGCAACAGGACCGGAACCACGGCTCGGATCTGATCGGAATGATGGTGATCTTGAACTTCTTTACTCAAAGTTAAGTTAACATCAGTACGAGGACAATCAGGCTTGAACAGTTACCTAACCGGTACCCCCTGTGCCCTGGCTAAATTGCAACATACCACCCCTACATATACCAGGAAGGGTACATTTGCTACCGAGTACCCTACCAAATCAAGTATTATTACCGGGTACTTAGGTACCCCACCCCAGTGATTGATGGGTCAGCACCTCATACAACCCCAACCACCCCCACCGGTCCATTTTACCAGCTATACACCCCCAATCTCGTCAAACTACCCACCCTGCCTTGAGTCCTTTTCTCACGGAACACATGGGTCCGTGTGTCATGAGCTGGGTAGTCCTAGAGATTCATGGGGTGATCGTAGAGACTGGGGTAGTTGACCGGGAAATTTGGTGGGTATTTTACAGGTATTTCTATGGTGGGGTGGATTCTTGATCATCCAGATGTTATGAGGGTGGTGGCAAGAGATGTGGTAGGGTAGGGTGAGGTGTAATGGGATCACGACACTGATGAGGGTGGGGTCAAATTAATAAGTAAAACATTGCACAGCGAGGACGACGGGATGGGCAAGAGGCGGGAGGGAATGGCCTTGAAGGAGGAAGGAGGCGTCAGGATCAGGGTCAGCATTATGGGGATGAGATGATGGATAAATAGGAACAGCAGTAGGAGGAGCAGTAGGAGGAGCAGCAGGAGCAGCAGGAGGAGGAAAAGCATGAGCATGAGCACCATGTCATTGAAGTGGGTTTCGATGGATACAACGAGAGAACGGTCAGGGCCGCAGGGATTCAGAGAACGAGTAAGAGGAAGAACAAGTTGGAGTTTGGAGTGCAACGAAGGATAATGCAGAAGATCAAGAGGGAAACAGAGATCACATTGCAGAGTCGGGAAATGTGGGCATGTGAGGTGGCAAAGCCATTGCCAACTATAACGAGAGGATCATGGAGAAGTATGCATGTCCACACCAGGTTGAAAGAGCATGTTTGTATAGAAAAACCAGGAGCGCGTAGCAGAGAGGGAGTAGCTGGACGCTGGAGACGGAAGGGGTTGAGTAGGGTAACTGCACCAGGTTCAGGTGCTGCTAGTGTCTGTTGAAAGGGAGTAATGAAAGGATGAAAGTCACTTGTTGACATGGTTTATGACGGTCAACTCATCTCGAAAGTCAATCTCAAATTTCTCCTGTAGCAAATGCATTACTGTGTGGCTTGTTGTTTGCAAATCCGAAAAAGTCAGGACTGAGGGGCGTTTTCTTTGCATCAACTGACGTATTATCACCAGGGAGGAGCGTTTTGGTGCGTTGAGGGGTCAAAATCGCCATTCTGGCAGGACTTGAAGATTTTCAAAAATTAAAAGGATCAATTCCCAGCCCACTGCCCCTGTCCTCAACTTTGTGGAGATCGTCAGACAGACGGACAGGGACAAAAAGGGCAACCGAGACTCGAAGATGTACGGGACTCAAGCAGCTCGATCTGGCGCGAGCACTCGAATACCGGACCTCCTGGAGCAGTTGAAGTCGGAGTATGATGCTCTCGGTCAAGAATCCACCTTGTTGAAGGCTCAGAAGGAGGATTTTGAACGCAAATGTACGTATTGGCTGATTGCTGAGCTCGTGCCCGACGATGCTGATTGATGCTCGTGGATGCAGTGGAATCTCAGATTGCTGAATTGAATATGATGACGCAAACCTTGACTGAACTCGAACGCCAGCATCGCCAAATGAAGAACACGGTGCCGACTTTCCATATTGTCCTCGACTTCGGCCACTGATGCATTTGCAGTATGAGGACGAAATCAAATGGCTAAAGAGGCAGATTGAATCTGCTGGTGGAGTTGTTCAACCGAGGAAGGATGGAGCTGGAATGCCGAGTGTTGCTTCCAAGGTTGAAGGGACCCAATCGTCAGCTCTACCCAGCTGCTTCGGCACAGCGGCAGGTGTTCACAAGAATGCTCCTAATTCCCTTGCTGCGTTGACTGTAGTGGCTAGCGCATTCTGCATTGGCCGATGCTATTCCCAATAGCCAGATCATGGGGGATACCCCAATGGCAAACGCAACAAATAGTAATGGATCTGATTTTCATGAATGATCCTTCTCCTGAAGTTTCATGTAGCGTCTGCGGGTGAACCTTCGAAGGCAGTGGACTCCAAAGGCCGTCAGCTCGACGACTGGAATGTACTTGCAGCTCTCGTGATGTCTGTGTGAGCTGGTTGATGACGTGGCTGAGCAGGTTGTGCACAATCCGAATGCCACGAGCAAGATGCACATCGAGCTGTGTCACACGCTGGAGCACGACTACCCAGCTCCGAGATGAGGGAGGGTGGGGTTCAACGACCGGGAGGCGGAGAAGAGGGTGACGCGACGGGGGGAGGGGGAGGAGAGAGAGGGGGCAAAGAGGAGGAGGAGGAGGAGGTGGAGGAGGAGGAGGAGGAGGGGAAGGAGGCTGACGAGCATGGGTCCGAAGGTATGCTGTGTGCGCTTCAGCAACGACGGACGGTACGCAGAGGAGGGAAGGGAGAGGAGTGAGAGGGAGTGAGAGGGGGTTGGGGCAGGTACGTGGCGACAGGATGCAACAAGACGGCGGTACTGTACGAAGCAGAGACGGGCAAGCGCCTGGGGATGTTTAGCAACGAGGGCGTACTGGACAGCCAGGTGGCGCTGGACAACCTGACGTGCGGAGGTAGGGGAGGAGGCGAGGAGGAGGGGAGGAGGGAGAGGGGGATGACGGAGGCACTTGTGACAGACTCGTACGTGCGATCGGTGTGCTTCAGCCCGGACAGCCGATACTTGGTAGCAGGGGCGGAGGACAAGACGATCAAGGTGAGAGAGAGAGGATCCGGGGAGGGGGAGGGATAGTCTGACGGGTAGCGGGGGCGTGTGAGGGCAGGTGTGGGACATACAAGGGAGGAGGCTTCGCCACTCGCTGCAGGGACACTCGAAGGACATCTACTCGGTGGACTACTCATCAGGTCGAGACAGGAGGGAGAGGAGGAGGGGGACAAGGGAGGCAGGGGAGGAGGAGGGGCAGGAAGGAGAGGGGGAGGGGAGAGGAAGGAGGGGGGTCAAGATTGAACTGACGGGGGAGGGGCAGACGGGCGCTACATCGTGTCAGGAAGCGGAGACAAGCGAGCCAAGCTGTGGGACGTGGCTTCAGGAGAGTGCATCCTGACGTTTGGGGACGACGACGGGCCGAAGGACGGAGTGACGTCTGTGGCGGTCAGCCCGGACTGCCGGTACATCGCGGCGGGGTCGCTAGACCGGCTCGTGAGGTAGGAGGAGGCAGAGGGGAAGGAGGAGGAGGAGGAGTGAGGGGTTACGGGCAGGCTGTGGGACATCAAGACGGGCAAGCTGATTGACAAGTTCGACGGGCACAACGACTCGGTGTACTCGGTGTCGTTCTCGCCGGATGTGAAGTACCTGGCCTCGGGGTCGCTGGACAAGACCTTGAAGGTGAGAGAGGGAGAGAGAGGAGGTCGAGGATGCTGAGGACCAGGGGCGGTGCAGCTGTGGGACCTTTCGGCAACCGGGAACCGGACGGTGATGTCCAAGTGCAAGCACACGTTCCAAGGGCACAAGGACTTTGTGCTATCGGTTGTGTTTGCGATGAAAGGATCGTGGCTGATCTCCGGGTCCAAGGTCAGTGAGGGAGGAGGGGGAGGGGGAGGAGAGGGGGAAACGGAGCAGGGGAGCAGGGGATGAGGGAGAGGCGGGGGGGGGGGGGAGGAGAATGGGAGAGGGGAGGGGTGACGAGTGGTGGGCAGGATCGATCGGTGCAGTTCTGGGACCCGCGGAGGATCGTGGCAGGAGGGCAGGTGAGCCAGGACGAAGGGCCTGTGCTCATCCTGCAGGGACACTTGAACTCAGTGATCTCGGTGGCTCACTCACCGTCGTCGTTTGTGTTCGCTACAGGCAGCGGTGAGCGGAGGGGGAGGAGGGGAAGGTAGTGGAGAGACGAAGGAAGGGGGGGGGAGTGAGGGGGGGTGAGATGCATGTGTGATGACGAGGATGCGCAGGGGACAAGAGGGCGAGGATCTGGAAGTATCGTGAGACATGAAGTAGTGATGTTGGTCTGAGTAGCTTCGACGTATCGAGGTTTTCAACCTGAGATTTGTTGTAATAAGATGGACAAATCAGAATGACTCGACAAGGTGCGACATGTAGGGAACAGGTCTATGATTGTGAGAGGGAGAGCTGCTTCTTGTGAAATCTGCGATGTTGGAGTTTTAGTTAGATGAATCAACAGCTTTATAGATGACAATCAAGTTGAAGTCTCAAAGTTCAGAGACTCCAGACTTCAGTTGTCTGTCACACGATACTTCCAGATCCTCGCCCTCTTGTCCCCTGCGCATCCTCGTCATCACACATGCATCTCACCCCCCCTCAT